TATGGTGCTTTGAGCAGGGAGAGGCAGGTGCTAAAATGGGGGCAAAAGGGGACTACCTGAAGATAACAGCTCAAGTACTTGAGTTAAAGATCAAAGAAGGATTTGGGGTAATGAATGCTAAATAGAGGGGTAAGGAGAGCCCCTTTGATGGGGTTAGGGGTGCTTTGTGGTCTTTGTGGGGGTGACAAAGATGAGGGCGAAATCAATAGGAGTTATTTACTTCCTTGGGACAATGAGGGGGAGGAATTATCGGTTTAGGGGTTTATTGTGCTTGGGATGGTTTATGTGCTTTGCAGGATTTTCTTTGATCTTTGCAACATGCAGCTCCTGTTTTGTAAGAACAGGATTATTAGATGTGAAAGGCAGTGTGTGAATGAATAGACCATGTGCATGTTAGAAAGCCTCAATATGTTGTGAATGAGTGATGCAGTAGAAGAGGAGAGGAGAGCATTAGTGAAATAATTCTTGCCCTGTGAGGACATAAGGAAAGCTATATCCTGAAGGTATACCTACAGTTTTGTGGCAAGCATTTTTCAGCTGGTTCTTCATCCTAAGTTCCGTTGCATTTGGAATTTTCATTCCTGGGAGACTTTGTTGCCACATGTTTACTCTCACACAATTTAGGTAAGGGTTTTATTTCCTCTTCAGAAAGTTCAATTGCTTTGCCTCCTTCTTTCCATGGATTTATAGTAGCCACCTTTCTTTAAAGGTTACCTGTCTACAGTGACCATGCACTTTGTCTCCGTCAAGAGATAAATGTATATTGTAAAACCTGTCTAGAAAGGCAACCTGCCTACTGTGGCCACTTTATGCATGTTCGTTTCTTGGGTGGCTTTATTAATAGACAGGTTTGACTGTACTATTTCTACTGTCACAGGTATCCATGTTCTATCCTGATCTTCCTCGAGATGAATGTTGGCATTTTGATAATTCTTTTCCACGGTATTTACTATTTAAAGGTAATACAAGGTTTTAGTATGTGGTCATGAATTTGGTTCAAATGAACATATTGGAAGCATATGCAATCCTACAATATTGAGTGATCGTTGTCGCGGTTGAAATCGTGTCTAAAGTTATGAAATTGTGAAAAATTAACTCTTTGTGTTGTATAGCTCCCTCTGAAGGTCAATATATTAATTAAGCTATAAACAATTTTCTTGACTAAAATCGACTGATTAGCTATTCCCGTTTGGAAATTATATATCACAACTACATATTCTGAGATTTTCATGGTCGCAGATACCATTGTACGACCATAGGCGCTATTTGAAATTTATCAAAATTTACCGGGAGCACCGGTAAATTGTTATATTCAACTTATCTTCAAAGCAAAAGCGTTTTAGGGGCTTAATCTTCTAGTGCTTATAATACATCCACAGGGGCATCCACATATATCAAAATTGTAAAGAATCACTATCCACCCGATTTTCAAAATTTCCCAAAACTTTGTATTACCTTTAAAGTCTCCTTCTATCACTCCCTCTGCAACCATGATGTAGTGAAAGCTTTTAAGGTAACAATAAATGAAGTTCAGAAGCACTTGGCTAAGTTTGCTTTCCCAAATCCATTTTTATGACATGTTCATTAACTTCATTACATGGAAACTATGCCATGATGAATACAAAGTACATCAATTTGAAAAAAGGGTACTTACATGCACCAATATTTATTTCCCCATTTAAGCGTTTCATTCAGAAGTTCATCATGCGCTAAGCACGTAAAAAGAATCACAATACATTGCTTTTTCAGTCAGTGCGAACCTGAACAGTGCATGATCGAGTTATGTGCACATAATAATATCTCTCTCATGAAGAGATTGTTTGATCATGATTTATGTGTCGCCGTGTCTGAGCTTGGCTGGATGGAGTGAGCTTGAAGCAGTCAATAGGAAGAAAGGATCTTCCAATTACCCACAGGGTAATGGAAGCAAACATGCTAAGTTACCGTCCCTGTTTATGATACTCGAGCTAGATTTCAGCTTTTTGTGCTGTCTCCCATTATGGATAATTAGCTGTATATACGGTACAAATGTAGGTCTGAATACGATGTTGGCTACTTATGCTTCTTTGTTCCGAATGATATATTTAGTTGTCTTTACAGTATATGTTACTTTTTCTTTAAAAAAGACAAAAAATACATTGTTGTTCTTTATATCGTCGTTTTCACGAAGTGACGGTAGTGAGGAAAATCGTAACGCAAAGTGAATGCAATTTTTTTTCACTACCGTCACTTCGTGAAAACAGCGACGATATGTACATGAAAAGGCTAAAATGTTGACAGATGTATAATTTCATCTAAAAATACATGTGTGATCATTATACTGGTACTTACAAATTCCTTTGTAAAACTGGGAAATGGCCTAAATATACAGTACCTTCATTATTTAAAGAATCAAGACTACACGAAAAGACATGAAGAGATAATATAAGCTGTCATTTTCATGAATTGTATTATTGTGTGTAATTTTTCAGTATTTAGGTAACCAAATTGTGAATATATCTATGATAAATGAGCCCATCGTAATCTGTATTATATGCTATCAGTCTCAATAGTCCGCCACAGTAGCTTAGCCTACCGGTACATGCACATTTAGGTACATGAACAAAAGTTGTATGCACATAGTTTCTGTCTATTTCCTCCTCTTGTGATTGGTAGGCCATAGAATACATCGGGGTCATGTCATCCATAACCATACTGTATGTTTCATTCATTCATTCATACCAATCTTGATGCGCACCAAGCCAGGCATGTCAAGCATTCTTTTTATCTATGGTACATGATTTGAATCGTTGGAATATCCCTCCTTATCAACCCAGCGAGCTGATAAAAACAGAGTGATTTACTCACTGACCCTGCATGTAAAGGAGATTAATGTAATGTAAAGGAGGTTGCTAATGGCTTGAGTAAGCTGATAAGTAAATGATGTAGACTGATAAGGTGTAGAAAAATCAACAAAGGAACCATCTTTAAAGTAAAATTGTTACAAATGTATTCGTTGAAAGTAGATTTACAGTTGGCGAAGAAGGCAATTTTTATGATTTAAAATTTCAGTAGTCTTTAATCTTTAGTTTCCACCATGGAAGTGTTATACTACAACTTTTTGAGCGCATACCATCAATATGTAGTCTTGAAGTTGCTTGATCGCTTATTGTAAGTTGGTTTTGCTCATGATTTTGTGACCATAAGTGTAGATTTCAAGATGTCCTTCAAATTATAGGTGACATGATAGTGACAAAGATATAAAATGGCAATTCCATTTAGCAAAAAAAGCAATTTGTTTACATTATTATTCTGACGACTTCTCTGTTATCACTTTGGTTGTATACATGTATGTGTAATATAAGCCCACCAGCCGCGCAGACATGCTTCTTCACACCTAACCAATGGTCGTACTAAATTAGCCGGAAAACGACAACCTTGAGGCACAAAGACGAGCCCTTTTGAGTGACGAAAGAATACCTGATAATAACAACAATCATAAATTACCCCCGTGGCGCAGGACCAATAATGAGGGAAGGAGGGGAAATAATTTGGGTTTAAGGGACCGTGAATGATGCGATAAATGTGACGCTGAGAACTAATAATGGAATCTATTCTTGTCCGATTGCGGTTGTATTAGGGATGGCGTTGTCAATGTGCGACTATTGTCGGTGGATGTTATCTTAGTGCTGTATTGCTGTCTGGTAGGACTTTTCAATGCTGGTGTACACCTGCGCCTGTGTGTTTACAATGATTTTTAATGCTGTGATGTTGTCGTACTATATGCCTCGTGTGATAGTTGTTGTCAGAGTGCATGTATACACTCAATTGGGTGTTGCTTCTTTCAGATGGTTTTGCAGCGTTGTTTTTTCATGCATTCCTCTCATTTAATCTGAAAAGCTGTTTTATATTATATTTTGAGTTTATGCAGTGTAATATTATTACCAACTTACCAAATCATTGATTGCTTTAAACAAGCCTAATATAGTCAAACATGTTTAATTGGTAACATCATAACCTGACAGCTACTGTTAATGGAAGATTGTTGTTTGATGAAATATTTCATATCATTTTTATACTAACTCTGCTATGATTTCATGAGTCTTTGAAATTTTTTCAACATTTTTGAATCATGTTATTTTTTATAAATATGTACCGTAATTAACGTTGTATAAACTGCCCTCGTGTATTAACCGCACCCTTCTTTTTTGCCCTTTTTTTTTTTTTTTTTTGCAGACTTAAAAAACAGTAGAGGACCTAGGATAGAACCTTGTGGTACGCCAAGTAATAGAAGAAAAATTAGGAGAAATTATTATTATAAACTACATATTGAAATCTATCAGAAAGATTACTTTCAAACCAAGATGACAGACAAATTTGAGTGTTGTTCTAGTTTCCGAGTGGTGAGTCAACACACCGATTACTGAGCTGGGAGACAGTGCCAGGCATAGCGTCAGATGGAGGCGCATAAATCGCAACTTTAAAAAAAAAAAAAAAAAAAAAATTTTGACTTTGAATTTTTTTCGGCGCAAAACGGTGCGGTCAATACACCGTTAATTACGTTATTGTAAATGATGCCAATTTGCCTAAGGAAATCACATATTTTGATGTGGTGAGCTCCTTTTATTGATATCAGAATGGCGTGACGTACGGGACGCTGTGGTCCCGTACGTCACGCAGCACATTAATTACATTTAAAATTAATTAAAAAATTGGTCAGAACTAAAACTTTCCACAAATGAACTAGCCCATAATAGCCACAGACTCATACCAAAAGATAGCCATAAAAATAATTTCATCTGTTGTTATTTCTTGTTTAAAGTCTCTAAATGTCCCGTACGTCACAATCCAAATAGCTTGGACCTGCCCTTTAATAATTATAATAGACTTATCAAGAGCGCTAATATTTCAACAGACATTTCATCACAACATGATATATATCCCATTATACATGCAGTACATAATTTGTATTTTCCTCATGATTTAATCAATATCTCCATGCATTTGTTTTCTTCATACAGATATTGACTGCTACAGTATAATTACCTTCTACCAAGGCAAGATGTATGTCACAACACCATCGTAGAGGTGCTTCCATAACATCCAGCAACTGGCAGATCACTGTGAGTCTAGCTTAACTAGCCTTGTATTACTACAAAATCAATCTGACACGGTGCAAACTCATTTTATTAACATTGGGACCAAGAATTGCAACCTAATTATATGGCAAAGTTATTGAAAAAAGTCAATAAGTTCTTCACTGTACATGTAGATAGTGCTTGCAAGTAGACTTGTAACTGTACACCATATAGATGTTAAGTAAATTGTTTTTGTGTGGTGGTGGTTATTTTACCTGACTGCTAAGAAAGCATAAATGCCTGTAAGTAAGCAACCAGACGGCCGACGGGTTTACATGTAGGTCCTCTCCGAGGGACCTGGTAATGATGATTAATTCCTTACCAAAGGGCACTAGTGCACCACCTTGGTTTTGAACCCGGGTCACCCGATTACGAGACCACTGCTCTACCGACTGAGCTATCGCGCCTAAGAATTTTCAAATTTTTTCATAAGCCTTTTTGGTTAGCAATCTAAATTTAGATATTGCAATGATTCTGCTTAGAAGATAGGTGGATTATTCTTATAAAATAACATAAAAACATTCTATTGAATGGTACAAATAATACAAATGCACAAGGTTCATACAGGGAAGGATATGAGTTACATTGTTTGTATTGTATAATGTGCCAGAATCAAGATACATACAGGTACATAAATTTAAACAGATTTCTTTAAAAGAAGATTATTTCATATGCTTACATAATTATGTACTTAAATGTAACTTACATGGGTGCTATTTAACTTTTAACAATTTATTTCATTTTGTCTTCAAATACCTCAGACTGAATCTTCCCATCCTCCATACAACCTGACTCGCCACCCAGCGAGGGGGTAAATCCTTCCCATCATGCTCCCACCTACGCTCCTAGCGTGTGCGGCTGGTCACATTCACTGGTTGTCATTGGTCATCTTCTTCCTGGGTATCATTAGCCTTCATGGTCTACCCACGGATCCACCTCTCATCTTCTCTTATGATGACAGTAAGTATATTGTCATAGAATAGTTGTAAGAATGATGGTGAAGATGATACTTGCACCCCCCCCCCCCTTATTATTCAATCCACCTCTTATCTTCTCTTATGATGCCAGTAAAGATATTGTCTTGAAATAGTTGTAAGAATGACGATGATGGTGATGATGATGGTACTTGCACCCCCACTATTCAATTCACCACTCTCTCTCATCTTCTCTTATGATGGCAGTAAAGAAATTGTCTTGAACTACATGTAGTTGTAATACTGACGATGATGGTGATGGTGATGGTGATAATGCTTGGATACCAGTTTTGGACTTTCCCTTCAAGAGTGATTTTTTTAAACTATCTGTAAACTTGACTGTGGTCGGTCTGTCAATCTCAGAGGAATTTCTAGCCCGTAGCCAGCTGATAAGGATTTATATACCAGGCCCAGGGTTTGGTAACCAGAGTCCAGTCTAGCCCACAAGTCATAAATATATGACATCCGATATTAGGCTCCCTGGGTGACCATCAATGCCGCTCTGAAAACGTTAGAGGATTGCGAATTAGTTTGACAAGAATGGTGGCCCCATTCGTGTTTTGCTCTTGTGCTTCACTCTTGTGCTTCTAAGTTCTATGAGTAAAACCTCATTGTGAATGGGGTCAGAGACAGTTCCTATTTTTATCTCCTATCAGTGATGGAGTCTGATATTTTGTTTTTTCACAAAACTCAATACATGACTAGCTCACTGATGGATGCAGTTCTTAAAATGTGAGAGGATTGCTATTTGGTTTGAGAAGAAATTAGTGTCCCATTCGTGATTCACCCTTTTGCTTCACTGAATAAAACCTCAATGTGAAGGGGTCATAGAACGTCGTTAATTTATCTCCTATCAATTATGGAGTCAGTAATAAATCCATGTTCCTTCACAAAACTCCCTGGCTCATTGATGAATGCTGCTCTGAAAACGTTAAAGGATTGTAAATCAGTTAGAGAAGAGATTTGGGATCTGTTCACATTTTCATTCATGCTTTTAAATCATGTGAAAGGGATCAAAGACGTTCAGTCTTTATCTGCTAAGACTATAGCATGAATGCATGCATGAGAGTATGTGGGGAATGCAACTGAGAAGAGATAGTGGTCCCATTCACATTGTACCCTTGTAGTTGCTTGGATTATAAGAAAAAGAAAACTAAAGTTGAAATAAAGTCAAAGACATTCAAGGTTTATCTCTTAACCCAACCACTCCAGGTAGAGGACCATGAAATGATAGGGTCCTATTGTGTACAATTAAATTCAAGAAGATTCAAAGATTCTGGACGAAATTCAAGAAGAATTCTCAGTGTAAATAGGGTCTCTGACATCCGATATTTATGTTACTATCTTGATACATAGGTGTCCATGAATGCTGGTCTGAGAATTTTGAGGAGCATGAACAGGTTTAAGAATGATGAGGTGTAGCTACAACTGTAGGTCTCTTTCACATTTTATAATTTTGCTTGTATGGCCGGACTTTATTAGATAAACTCCCAGTGTACATCTGATTTACATATTCTGTAGCCCCCTTTTTTACTTTGAAGGATGGGCGTGAGGATGAGGGGATGTGTGGCTCTTCAGAGATCCCTTCTAATTTCCTGCCTGTAATGATCAGTTTGATGAGATATCGAGACCTTTGAATAGGGGATTGTTTTGGTGTGTAAAGATCAAATGTGATGCTATACTCGAATGCTTCACGAATGCTCATTCATGTTATAAAAATTATCCTTTGGCACCTTACAAATTGCATAGAGTAAATTTAAGGTGCAACTACATTTTTTGTGTGATTTTTTAATTTCTCAGTTGCCAAGCATATAGGGCAAGATTTATGAAAATGAATGTACTTTGAAAATTACCACTTCTCACAGGATATGTAAGGCTTCAAAGCTAGTGTCCTTTTTTAATTGTTAGGGGTATGAGGAACATTGTATAAATATCTACCCCTTCCCATTAAAAAGCACACACATAAATTGATGATAATAATAATAATATTATTTATTACCTTAAAGTTACCTTTAATATTTAAACTAGGCATAATTAAGACCATAAGTACCTTTGACTTCTTAATAAAAACAATACAAAGGTACAGAGAAAGAGATCAATCGTTTTAATTAAAAAAATTAAGCTTAGCCAGAGGGCAAAGTGTGCATAAACGTATAAATGTACCGTAGTTAAGTTCAAAGATTTTTTTTCTTCAGGGTCAGCACAAACGCATCCATACCCCCAGCCCTAGCACCATTGATCTGTACATCACCAGAGAAGGCATCCATGTAGGGCCTAATGGCATAGCCTTTATATGGTTTATAGAAGCAAAGCTGAAAAAATAGTTTACTTATCTCGGTGGATTACCTACTAGCCCGGCAGAGAAGGTTCTGTGCAGTACTAGCAGTCCTATCTCTGGTCTGTATATTAGTATATCTGTCACCTAATGCATTAACACTGAGCCTGAAAAGCTGATGAAATTCATGTAACAGCTAGACTAACTGACCGCTTATTATTTCCATGATTTTTACAAAGGTTTGTCCCATTTCCTATCTCGCTTCTGATGAGAATATATGCATGCTTTAATAATGATGGAAAGGACTGTCCCGCTAGAAACAGACAAATTATCATTTTGTGTTGGAAGAAAAGTCTTCCTTACAATACCGGTAATCTTATTTTACCATTGTAAGAAATACCCTAAAAGACTGGAATATGTACAACCCGTACATTGTAGCTAGCTTAGACATTCCGGGATACTGGTGAATGTCCTGATCCGTAGAGGAGAACGGTGGATATTGGGGAAGAGATTTTTTTTAAAACTGATCATGAAATGTGAGAAGAGAATGAAAATATCCCATCCTTCCTCCTTCGTTCATCACCTCTGGCTGACGTAAAACAGTAGAGGAATGTCAGGTACAATTTTCTTTGGACTGAGTGATAGGATGACTGATCTAGTCCTCCGTATGTAAATTCAGTAATACATGTACATGTACCTTCTTAGGCTTTAACCAAGTACCCCTACCATCTGAAATGTTTACTAAATTGAGGAGTGGTCTGGATTTGCGATATATTTCATGCTGCATCATAATTACTTCACATTCATCACAAAAAGAACTTTTTGGAATAGGGAAATTTCATGTTGAACATATCTTCCTGCCTTTGAAGTACCTCCTGTTACTAAAGTGTACTTCTTGACTTTAGGAATCGTATTTCCCTCTTTTTGTATTACTTTGTCTGAAAACAAAACAGAGGCCTCCCCCCCCCCCCTCCCTCCCTCCTCATTTCCTTTTTATTTGGTGAAGAGGAGGGGGAGGGGTGAATTCAACCTAGAACTATAGAAGTAGAAATCTAAGCAAGGGGTTCATAACATGACCCACTTCTACCCTTTCATGCCCTAAACTAAAGGAGACTAAAATTCTACCTTTCCCAGGTGATCCCTAGATCTTGAGACCCTAAGCCATCAAGGTTATGACATTGCTTGTATTTTTTTTAAAGCCCCCATCCCATGGGAAAATCAATTGAACATATATTTAAGTTTTGAGTCAACAAAATGACTCTTTCCAAAGTCAGAACATGTTCCTTCTCATCTGCAAAGAGATAGGTATACATGTACAGTACGTGTACATTGTTACATGTACATATACATGTAGCCCCTAAACCTCCTAAATTCCTTTTAAAGCCTGTCTGTACTAGTTTGGCCAGGGGAGATTAGACCACCCAGTGTGGTCACTGACAGGTGGTTATCTCATCAACTCAGCTCTCAATTAACATAAGAAAAAGAAGATCATTGGGGACCAACAGGCACCGCTTAGGTATTGTTTTATATCTAAAGGGAGCAGGTAGTGCAGTGGGGCTTTAAGTTGGGTATAGGAGGGTAGATGGAAGTACAATTTATTCGTTTAAGAGAGGGGTAGGCCCTATGTGTACATGTTGGACTCTTTTCTTCCAATTTTATCCACCATGGACATACATGTACATGTATATGGTAAGGCTGACTGAAGGAGACTATAAAGTTCCCTTTTGAAGCTCACCTCTACCAAGGAGATCCCTAGATCTTACCCCATCAAGGTCAAGACATTGGTTGTGTTTCACACTCCCTTAGACACCAGATGGTGTGATCTAACATGACCGCCATCTGTCATCGGTGGATTAACAAATCTTCCAGGCTAAAATGTGCTCCTAACCCTCCTCCTCCTTCTCCTCCTCCTCGCCCAACCCGCATACAGCTTGTTTGGAGTGACCCAACCTCTATCAAAATACAGGGATGTTGTGTGATGGAGGTTCTTCCTCTCGTGCTCTAACCATGGAGTTTGGTAACTCTCCCCCTGTCCACACACAACATTTTCCGTGACTAATCATGATTAGCTATACCGTTTCGCGATAGTTTTACGACCAAAATTGTAGGTGTGGACGCTCACTAACGATACGTCGTATAACGAAACTAGTCTAACGAAACGCAGGTTTGGGCATCGTTTCGAACTGAAACTCAATAAAGAATCACGCCTAATCACGGAAATGTTGTGTGTGGACAGGGGGACCCCCTGGGGGAGTGTAACTAGTGTAACTAACTGGGCGGGGCTTAACGTGACCTCGAGCGAAATGAGACCAGACCTCTTATCACTATCGCGAAACTCTATAAAGAATCACGGAAAATGTTGTGTGTGGACAGGGGGCATTTTATACGATGATTCTTTAGTGACGATGTTTCTTGTGTGTGGACATCCTGGAATTTATACGATGATTCTTTATACGACGTATCGTTATAGAGTTTCGCGATAAATTGTTTTGTGTGTGGACACGCTGTAAATGTTCTAACACACCTCTGAAATTGATAGTCAGGCATTTTGATGTCTAGCTCTCTAGATGGAATAACAGTGTGTGACTTTCACTATCAGGAAAGTACAAGGGAAACTTAAGATGTACAATCATTGCACATTATCTTTGAAATAAGAAAAGTTTAGGCTGTGGTTATTGTTCAATTTACACCCCTCCCCCTCAAAAAAAAATAAAAATGGGACAATTGAGTAAAGTGTTTTGTAGTAGGGTTACCCACTTCCACATAAATAGAATTCTCTGAAAATGTTGCAATTTTAGGGCAATCTATTTGAAGAATTAATGAATTATTCACAGAAGATATAAGGTTCATATCAAGGTTGAATTGATATAAAAAAATTGCTGACAAAATTCTGATGCCTGTGGTTGCTTAAAACCAAGAACCCTCAAACGGAAGCATGTAGACATCCATGTTTGACTAGTAGTAGTACAATATTTGTCTTGTAGAGCATTTCTCACTTCACATACATGTACATGTACATCTTACACAAACATGGACTTTACAATCAAGATATGTATGTTTATCTGCATTCTGCCGTCATGCAAGGCACATATATGTATCTCTCTCTCTGGGAAATGTTGACAAATTCCATCTAAATTTGGGGGTGATTGATGGGGGTAACGTGAGGTTCATGGACCATTGCTTCACCCGTGACCCTTGACCCCAGTCAAACTCCGCCCCATAACCAACGGTAACCAACCTCATCTACATATAAATGGTTCAGGGATGCATTCACATATACAGTGCGTCCCAGAAAAACGAAACCAAGAATTATTGATGTTTTATCATAACTTAATTGTAATTATAAGTAATAAATGACACATATTTATGAAGCTTAGATCCTCTTCTTTCATTTGATGCAACTCATTATGATGCATATTTCATGCGTGAGGGAATAAAAACGAATTTGAAGAAAGGATACCAAAAAGTCATTTGGCAAACAGTATCTGAATTTCCAAGAGAAAATCACATTTCCAGAAAGTTCATTTTCTGCTCTGTCATATGACACCTCGATCAGGAGAGGATCTAAGCTCAACAAATATGTGTCATTCATTAATTATAATTGTAATTCAGTTACGATAAAACATCAATAATTCTCAGTGCAGTTTTTTCTTTGACGCTCTGTATAACCAACCTAATCTACATATAAATGGTTCAGGGATGCATTCACATTGTGCCAAATTCTTCAGCTACTTGTACATTCTTCATCAAGGAGACGTTATTTAAAAGAAACTGATTCGAGGAAAACATCAGCGTTATAGGCCTGGGTATTGATTCAAGGGGATAATGAGTAGAATAGCCTTTGAATGATGATAGATAATTACACTTGTCAATGCCACTAAAGAGCATGATTACTAAAATGATACAAATGATGGCCTTCTGTATGACATGTCTATTTTAAGCCCAATAGATTGAGAAGGATAGACTTCATTTAGACAACAATTTTACTGCCTTCATTAGCATGTTTATCAGTCTGTTAGTCTCAAATATTGATTGCTTAGTCTATTAACTATGATATTGGGATAAATGGGATTATGATTAGGTTAATGTTAGACTTCATTTTGATGATAATTTCACTGTCTTCATTAGCATATTAATCAGTCTCTTAGTCTAAAATATTGATTTATGAGTCATTAAGACGTGATATTAGGGCATCATATTTGGTTTTAAATTCTTGTGGTTAAGTTTAAGTTTCATTTTGACAGTATTTTGACTGCTTTGATTAGCATATTAATCAGACTGCCATTCTAAAATATTGATTTATGAGTCATATCATGAAAGAAAAAAATGGTGATTCTATGTTGTGTACACTGTAGATACTACCGGTACTTGATTTTGGCAGGGGGGGGGGGGCATGTTTGATAATGATTGGGGTTAATTTTTTTACTTCATTTGGACAATTATTGTACTGCCTTCAGTATAGCATACATGTACATGTATCAGTCAGACTATTGATTGATGAGACTTTAAAACATGATATTGGGGGCCATGTTAGGTTACGATTGGGGTTAAAAGGGTTAAGCTATATTGATCACATGGGTCAGGTGGTATAGTCACATGGGTCTAATTAGGGTCAGGTGGTATTTCTTATGGCATGTTGGATGACAAGAGCTACCTCCATGAATTCCTGCAAACTTGTACTTAATATCAGTTTTGAAAATTCCCCGTAGATGATGAATTTGCCAACAAAATGAGATTGATATATTTCATTTCATACTTCCTAGATTACCTTTTCTGATACTTCCTAATTTTTAATCTCTCTCCTTAGTTTTTTTCATACAAAGCAGTTCTAGGGTTAGAAAGCTCTAAAGGATAAGAAAAGCTCAGTAAAGACTATCAAAATAACAACTGATCAAAAAGTAAAGTTGTTGCAGGAAAATGTCACTCTTAAACTTGTAAATCCAAAAATAGCTTGGGTAAACCAAAAAAAAAGGTCTTTCGCATCGACTTGCACACTCTCTAGTCTCTTACTCTACAGGTACATGAATATGAACTGATACACCATACATGATATAAACGTGAATTCCTTCTATTTTCTTCCCGAGATATTGGATACTTTTCCCCATAAATATTCAAGTCACTTTCTAAATTTATGAGTCTAGGAATAGAATGACAACCACTGCAGTTGAATTTCAAAGTTGATCTTGAAAGAATAAACCCTATGGACATGCTTCATTGAAAGATCATACATACTGGGAGGAAGAGAGATGTTCACACAGGATTACTGTAGGTTTAAATTAAATTTCTGAAACCTCAGAAGTTATAAACAATGATCCACTGACAACGACGAGGGGATAGGCAGTCACTTTAGTTAACTACATTAAGTGCCGTAATCTTGAAGTTAATTTCTACCGTCCGCACTCCGCAGAACTTTAGGTGAGGACCCCCCAACTGCTTGTTCTTATTTTGCTAACCTTAAGATCTGTAGTATTTTTAACTATACTTGTATACAGTTTCATAACCATGAGTGCCTGTACAAGGTCCCTAACTATAAGATAACTTTGAACAAGTTTGAAGTTTAAAACTGTCGCCTAAACTTAAGATTAACAGACTGCTGTGTGAACCTTACCAGAGAGAGATGAATGAATTGAAGCATGAAAGGAGAAATTGATGTTACTTGAGGGAGAATGGGAGCTCTATTGAGCAGCAGTCAGTAGTAAGACGAGAGAAAGTGACCTGTGTGAGAGGCTAGTGACTTGCAGTTCGTTGACCTCAGATGGACAGAAGGGATACAGGGAAAAAATAAACTTGTGAAAATTCAAGCTCATGTACATTAATTCTGAGCAGGGAAAAAAATATTTAGATAATTGGGGGGGGGGGTACTTTTCAAGCTTGCTTGCATTAAAATTACACTCTTTAATTTGTTTTGTATTGAACTCTATGCACATTTTAAAGGGGTCTTTTTTTACTTTTGGGGGCCCATGTATTTTTTTCCCTGCCCTGTCTCTGAGATTGGGAAATTATGCATTGTATAGAACCGTGTGAAGAAATGTGGTCTTACATGGATGTGATAATGAATGAATTAAAGTAAATGAAATATTTACTTTATACAGTGTATTCATGCTCATGTGTCTATGTAGAAATGACATGTATAAAAGTGATACTGAAGACTTCAGAGCTCAAGTACATTCATTCTTTTAATCATCTCTTCCAACTTATGTTTTCTTTTCTCTCTCTCTCTCTCATTCTTGTTGGGGCTGTCAAAAACACATTCCAATTGAAAAAGAAAAAAAAAATCTTTCATCTGTCAAAGTTGCTGTAAATAACATTATTGTCTAGTTTGATACTTATAAATATCACTTATATTTTATGTCCCCTTGCATATTATCAAAGCATGTTCATTAAGAAAGTCAGTATTCCTTGCCGCATTAAATGAAAATTCACCTGGATGTTGATATTTAATTTATCTTTTGTTTTATTTGTTTCTTTCTTGATTGCAGCGACACCTTTCCCTGATGCCATCAAGTGTTTTACATGTGACAGCAGAAAGACCAATCAGGAGTGTAACGACAAGGCATATGATGGATTCTGCCCTCAAGGTTTGTTTCTTTTTAGGATTATCAGGACCAGTTGAATTTTGATTTGAAGTAGATTTACCATCTTTATTTGACAAATCATCACCATCATCATCATCATCATCATCATCATCATCATATCACCATCATCATCACCATCATCATCACCATCATCACCACCACCACCACCACCACCACCACCACCACCACCACCACCACCACCATCACCATCATCATCATCATCATCATCATCATCATCATCATCATCATCATCATCATCATCATCATCATCATCATCATCATCATCACAGTAATCCAAATTTATGTTCCAGCGACATTTACTCTGGCCTTATACATGTAGGGCTGTATTTCTTTGAAGACATTGGGTTATGGTTGCGGTGTTAGGTTTATGTTTATGATTATTAAGGTTAATACAATATAGCTGTAATTGTTTAGTGTTTGGTCCAGGGATGAACTTTAGAATTTGGTTAACACAGGTATTTAACCAAAGAGCAATTATGTTGAGCACGGGTTGAATTACCATTCCCAATAGGGTATGAAAAACCATACCTACATTTGTGGATATACCAGTACCATAGCAAATGTAAAAGGGGAAAACAAGCTTTGAAGATTCAACAAATCTGCCTCAAGGGTTTTGCTTTATATTAAAGCCCGTCTGCACTAGTTTGGCCAGGAGGATTAGACTTCCCTGCAAGGTCAATGATACGTGGTTATCTCATCAAATCAGCTCTCAATTAACATAAGGGATCATGGGGGACCAACAGGCACTGCATAATCAGGCATTGTTTGCTATATAGAGGGCGCAAGTTGATATAAGTAGTGCAGTGGGGCTTTAAACAAACATTTACAAGGTTTTTCTAATTTATTTTCCCCCATTCTTTTGACAGGTACCAAGTACTGTTACACCGAGCATCATCTCAACAGCCTGTCTGGAGACAGTGTTTTAGTTCATAAACTGTGTGCTACAAATGGAGAATGTACGCCAAACTCTGTGGGCTGTTCGGATTTTACTCCTCAACAATTTGACACAAAGGTAAGGCATTCATTGAAGTGACTCAGTAACATTGCCTCAGATTCTGAAACAAAATCCTGGATTTAGTTCATGCTGCAATCATAATTATAAACCTTTAGGTCAGTCAGAAATCCCATGACTTTTACAAGCCGATCGCCTGTCTGATTATCAAGATATTTATCATTGGAAATTCCAAACGGTCTTTACAACACTACAGTCTATTGGGGAAATTGAGTATGGGAAAAAAAATGTTAGGGCTTCAATATTACACCATATCACAGACACTGATAACATGTAGGGCAATGCATCTCAGATTTAACATTGTTAAACGATGCCTTTAAGTCGGAGAGAACTCTATTTGTGATGAAGCAATGTCCAAAATGATTGTTTGCCATTAAAGGTAAAGACCAGTATTGGAAACGCCCCAATTTCAAAAAATGAAATGGAAGCTCTCATTACCAATCATGTGAAAGAATATGTTTTGACTAATACATGATGATTAAAAATTTGCCGGGAAACCGCCTACTAATTCATATATTTGGTAAATTTGTTTCTCTCATGGTCTGTGAGAGATATAGGGTAGTCCCATATACATCTTTCTGTGTATAGTGCTTGTAACTTTACGAAGAATGGGCCAAATTTCTTATCATTTTGATGATTCCAGAACCTTGCAGATGCTAGATGCTAGATGATCAACCTTTTCTGATCGATTCCACAACGTTTCTTTCACAATGCAATCGCATGACCATAACTGGTCTTAACCTTTAAAAGTCAAAATATTTTATGGAGAATGTACACTAAAACAACGTAGGCTGCTTTACTTTAATGAATCTCATCAATATAATTCAAAGGGAAGAAAAGGATAAATTCACCCCACTATTAATAAGAAGATAATTGTAAGGCTAATGAAATTCAAGATAACAGAGAACGTACTACAAACACTGTGAGCTGCTGTGACTTAACACCTTCACCAAGGGGGAAACCATCCCCATCAAAGATGTATTGAATTATAACAAAGTAATGATGCAAATAGAGTAGGGAAACTTTGAGAGTAATCTGTTACGGAGTTCTGAAAATTTAAGAAAGAAATATTAAGTTATTAAATCAAGAAGATCAAACACAATGAGGCACTTTATGATTTTGTGTGTGTGGCACTCTCTGTATGCTTTGATAAGAAAATATTTTTTTTAAATATTTTTTTTAAAATTTATTTATTTTTGTTGGCTATAATTCATTTTACTTGTAGAGAACGGTGGACTTCTCCTTTAACTTTAACTTTATTGAAGTCATCCATTAACCTAGATCGGCAGGTTTTTAATTACAACCAGTGGCTCATATTTCATTCATGTTCTTTTGCAGAAATGTATATCTTGCTGTGAGGGCTCCAAGTGCAACGAAGCCGTTCCCACCAATTCCAGCACAGCGATCTTTACAACGATAACACCGTACAGCCATGGAACGTTATTACAATCATCGAGGCTGTTCACATCGCTCTGTTTAGTTTTATCGACAATGTTAGTCAGAGGATGGTTATGGTGTATGTAGCAGTGTTGCTTTGGCATGAGTTCAGACTCTCTGATTGAGAACACAATAGCGTTCACTTGAATGTTTCAGCATCCTATTGTGATGTTTCAACGTGTTATGGTGTAATAGCTGAAGAGTGAATAGACCTTGATTGAACATTTGGGCTCAGAAGACCATACTGGAGCAGTGTTGCTTTGGCATGAGTTCAAACTCTCTGTTTGTTAACACAAAAACGTTCACTTGAACATTTCAGTCCTGGGGCAGCGATATGCAAGTCAAAAGATGAAACTCACATGCTTCTTGAACTGTTTTGAGTGGACATTATAAAGAGACATCCAACGAGAAGTGATCAATTCCAACACAGCATCCATACTTTAGCGCTGATATCTAGCTTTTACCCTAATATGCAGATGACATGACATGGAGGTCAGTCATATCCACCGAGAAGCTCCCAAGATTGATGACCTACACCAGGGATATTCTCATCTTAATCTCATCCAGATTAGGAAACTTATGTAACAAGATATTAAGATATTGAATCAACCATTCATGCATGTATGGATATGTAAGAAGAATCCTTCACAATAATGCGATAATTGAAATGAGATTTTAAAAACAGAGTACCGTTAATCAAAGGTATAATGTGGTCTTTGTAGGCAGGTGGTCACTAAAGCGAGTTTGACTGTAGTTAGTTCACAACAACACTTAGTAAGGTTTTTTGAGCATGGGCTCTGGAAGACACATGTTCTAGAAATATACTGTGTGGTATGATTGATCTGGGGGGTGTTTCACAAAGATCATAAGTCAAACTTAACTCTAAGTTGGACTTAAACATTATGGAGAGCCATTTGTAGCCTTAGAATAATATAAATTCAAAAACGAAAATTCAACTTTTTTAGACTTTTCATAAATTCCACATCAAGAATATTAAATCTCCTTAATAATAGAAGATATGAATGATTTGTATCGACATTTAATGCCTTTTAAAATAACTTTCAGAAAATGTTTTCAAAGATGCTAATGGCTAACCATAACTTTTAAGTCCAACTTAAAGATAAGTTCAACTTAGGATCTTTGTGAAACAGGCTCCTGTATGGTCTTTGAGCATATCAAAGAAAGTTCATGTTTAAATAAATTCAAGTACATTTCAGTGAAACAAGAGTGCAAGAAAATATATTATGTGAATATGTACATATGATTATAACTTATAGAAAACCTTTTATCTTGTTTTATATGTACATTATGACATCTAAACATGTAAATGTTTCACTGTTGGAAGAAGACTTGAAGCATTCTTCGACTGAGACATGTCATTGTCTACATGGATTAATTGTCTATCTTGATTATGATGCAGAAAATGTTTTCAAAATGTGCATATAAATTATTTCTTTCGAGATAAAACAGAGGCAAGCAAAGGTGAATCACTTGGAAACTCTCTCTTTTTTTTTAAAGCAAGTATCCTTCATACAGTATTTCATTGAAGCAAAGAAAGTATTTCACGATATATGACATAGGTAAAGCCCACTTAATCCTTCTGCAATCCAGTTTGGAAGATTAGGCAGTAGCTTTTGATATGAACACATTTACATGTAATGTTCATGTAATGTAAACTCATAATCATAGTTTTAATTGAAAATAGTCCTAGTAGAAAAATTACATTTATAAGGTATTAAACGCTTCTTTGTGAGGAGGAAATGCCAAATCGGATTCCAGTTGAAAAGTGGCATCAAGTTATTTGTTTGATTGTCTTTAATTTGAAGGCAATTTGGCATTCACTACAACTTTTGTACTTCACTACAATTATTTATTAGAGTCAGATCCTTAATCTGGAATAATATCATTCATGAGCATTTCTTTATCTTATACAAATGCGATTTCATTGAAATTGGACTGCAATCTGGGACCAGTTTCACAAAGCCCTTTTCCATTGACAAATGAAGAAAAAAAAAAATTAGTGACATATCTGCTGATAACCAATCAGAAGCAAGGATTTCTGTAGCTTATACCAAAAACTGTCATTTGTCACTGATGACAAGTTTGTGAAAGGGGCCCCTGATCATATAATGTGCAGTGGGCCTGAGAATGGATACATGTTCAAAGATATTGAGGGTAGTTTCCACATCAATATTATTAGTAAATACTCAAATACATATGTGTAACTTGCACTTAAACACAAGAACAAAGATATATAATCTAATTGTAACCCTCTATTTTATACATGTATGGACCTTTTGAACAAGTTTTACATTATAATTCCTTCAGTGTTTAACAGGGTATACATTTTAGAAAGTTTTGTTTCTTGCCATTTTTTAGATTAGTTTGTTCTGTCATTCTATTTGGGGAACTTACGAATATTCATTCTTTGAGGAATGTGTACAACTTAATGTAAACATACTCTTTATTTCCAGATCACATGTCCAATCTATCCATCGTTTAACGATCACTCCATTCCTCCCTCTCTCTTCCTTTGTTAACTCTTCTCTCTCTCTCTCTCTCTATTGCGCTCTCTCTCTTCTCTTCTCTTCTCTCTCTCTTCTCTTCTCTCTCTCTCTCTCTCTCTTCTCTCTCTCTCTCTCTCTTCTCTTCTCTCTCTCTCTCTCTCTCTCTTCTCTTCTCTCTCTCTCTCTCTTCTCTTCTCTCTCTCTCTCTCTCTTCTCTTCTCTTCTCTCTCTCTCTCTCTCTCTTCTCTTCTCTCTCTCTCTCTTCTCTTCTCTCTCTCTCTCTCTTCTCTTCTCTTCTCTTCTCTCTCTCTCTCTCTCTCTTCTCTTCTCTCTCTCTCTCTCTCTCTCTCTCTCTCTCTCTCTTTTTCTCTCTCTTTCTCTCCCTCTCTATTGCGCTCTCTCTCTCTCTCTTCCTTCAAATACACACAATGAACACGATTAGCACATATCACTGTTTGATTCTTATTGCTTTATTACTCTCTGGAAATTAAGCTCTGCACAATGTTCACAAGTCTTTCCTATTCAAGCCAGAAATACATGTAAAATGAATTCATCATGGTTATATATGTCTGGAATAAATCACCACTTGTTTAAAACGATTAATGTAATTCATAGGCATTACCTACAGTGTATGAATTGATGAAATGTATACATGTACCATTATCTTTGTCCATGATACCAATAATTATTTACAGAACAATTCTAGTGCATATTTCAAAGCACTTTCTGCAAGATGTTTAAACAAAACTTAAAAATAATAGGGAGAAAATTGAAATCCTAGAATATTGAAAATGATTTTATTGCAAAAACAAAAATAATACAAATTTCCCTCCTAGCTACAATCTTATGAGGAACACTTATGCAGGACAGTAACACATGTTTCTCATTTAGTATTAACAATGAATGAATCATATCTTTCACAGTTAAAGTGATGCCACACCAGGGGGGTGTTTCACAAAGATCCAAAGTTGGACTTATTATGAAAAGCTGTTAGCATATATGAATATAGTTTGTATAAGTTATTTTAAAAGGCATAAAATATTGATTCAAATTATTCATATTTTCTATCATCAAGGAGATTTCATGATCTTGATGAGAAATTTATAAAAAGTCTTGAATACATATACTTATTCATTTTAAGGCTACAAATGGTTCTCCATAATTTGTAAGACCAACTTAGATTTGTGAAACACGCCCCTGGAGCTTTTCTCACTAAGAAAGTTCAAAGATTTAAATAGTACTGATTTGAATCATGAATTATTTACAATTATCTCAACTCATTCATGTTGGTAATTAACTAATAATTTGATAGAATCTGTGATAACTACTACATGCAATTTGTTCTAGAAATGACTGTACAAAAGATTTTTGTTATAAATAAATACATTGTATGTTCCTATTTTGTACATACACACTGAATAACATCTATGTATAAACTATAAAGGTGGTCATCTTAAATATAGAGAGAGAGAAGAGGGGTGAGAAGTCAGAAATCTACCCAAAAGCAGAAAGAAAGCAAAAGAAAAGGTAAGAGAGTGAGGCGAGAGAAAAAGAGTGAAAAAGAAAGGGAGAAATAGAGAGAGAGAAATAGAGAGAGAAATAGAGAGAGAGAAATAGAAACAGATAAAGAAGAGAGGGAGGAGAAAGTGAGAATTAGAGAGAAGTGAGGAGGGGGAGAGCAAAGGAGGGGGAGAGCAAGTGAGGGGGGAGAGAGAGAGGAGAAAATTAAAAGAAAAGCATGGGTAAGTTGCTAATTGGACAGAGAAATTCAAGGCTAAACAAATTAGAAACACAAAAAGGAAGCATACATAATTTACGAGGCACAAGATGTTATTTACATAGGTAAAAAAAAAAAAATGGCAGCTTTACATTTATGTAAACTTTGAGATGTAGCAATAGCAATATGACAGCTGACACTTTTCTAGTCTAAAATAAAATCAATATTATCTTCCTTTCCTTACCATTGCACTTAAACTTTAAAAATAAACAAATTTGATATTCGTCAATAATCATCTTCACATCTCCCTTCATACTCATCTTCTCTCACTGTAGATGGTCTCATTTTCTAGGACATGATCATAAGATGGTACGAAAGTACAAAATTCCTCAGGATTGTCAACTGTCACCACTGGAACCCTATTACAATCACAGAGCCAGTGTAAAGTCATGATATTACCACCATTAAAGACCCTATCCAATGAAAACACAACTTTATATCAATGGAAAGCTGAATGAACGTAGAATAGAGAGCCGTTACTCCTCTGACAGACACTAAAATGGTATATAATTGATTTCATGTAATCTATGGCTTATAAGCTTTCCATTGATTATATATAGTTCATCTATTTCATTTTTCACCTCCATTATAGTCTTAAATGCATGTTGACATCTGATCTTTCTTAGTCTCACTTAAAATTAACAAATCTGGGAGGAATGATGACAAGCTGATAAGAAGAACAGGGACTCCTAATATATGAACTTTTTAACTGCCATCAACAGTACCACATTACCATCACACAGTCACTATAACTACCGGTATCATCATCATTACAGCATCTTACGTCTGAAGATGTAAGCAACTTTCATCGGGTGCAAACACAGGATGGTTGCAATCATCCCTTCTGCCCCATCACTCTAACACAGCTAGTGTATCTACCAGTATTACTACAACCATCGCGGCATCTCTGAGGTCTATATTCCTCTTTCACTGAATTTGAACAACTTCCTTGGAGCATGAAGATCAGATGGTGAGGAATAGCAATTCTTTATGATTGTAAATTAATTACTGATGTCCATCCAGCTATAATAACTACTCAAATTATCATCATTACAGAATCATGTCCTGATCCTCCTTGATATTAAAGGGAAAGTCCACCCCCAAAATAAGTTTGTTTCGATAGAGGCAGAATAATAAGAAAATCAGGTGAGTGAAAGTTTGAGCAAATTCTGAATGAAAATAAGAAAGTTATGAATTATTGAAGTTGTGATCAATCAAATACAAATTGGCAACTCTGTGACTTATTATACGAGCTCTCCTTCATTTGCTTTGTGCATAATATTCCATAAAATCATGTTTTCTTTGTTATTGATGACAGAATATATATTTGTTCCTTGCAGGGGGAGTATAGAAACATATTTGCAATTATTATATTTAGGGTGCATGTATGGTTGAAATTTTTCTTGAGGGAAAATGAAAATTTTAGATTTTTTTAGTACTGAGCAAATGGAAGTTGAGCTCGCATGATACGTCATAGAGTTGCCAATTTGTGTTTGATTGATCACAACTTCAAAAATCCGAACTTCCTTATTTTTAATCGGAATTTGCTCAAACTTTCACTGACTTGTTTCTCTCATTTTTCTACTCCTATTAAAACTAACTTAATTTCAGGGTGGACTTCCCCTTTAATTAACCCATTGCCTACTGGAAACGGGTAGCTCCTGTATCAAGCAAATGGCGATATGAAGATTCAGTATTCAGAGGGTTAATTGAAGATGTGAGAAACTTTCATGGGGCACGTCCACAAAAAGGTGAGGTTCTCGGGTAACCCGTCATAATTTGATGAATACTATCAACCACCATCATCACAATTAAATCACAGAATTACTACCTTAATCAAGGCATTTCTTCTACTCTCGTTTGAGATGAACGACTATAACCGTCATTTTCACCATCATGGCATCTGTTGTCTAGATCTTTCTTATTGATGTGAACAACTTTCATGAGGCATGTCAACAAAAAGGTAAAGTTCGAAGTGAAGCCCTCATGATTTGATGAAAACTATCAACCACCACCATCATCACCAAGGCTAGAAGTGTCGTGGTCGAGTGGATATGTCACCGGACTGTCGATCACAAGGTCCGCGGTCCAAGTCCCGCCGTGGCACTAATGTCCTTTGGCAAGACATTGATCTACATTTGCCCCATTCAACCCAGGTGATGTAAATGGCTGCGTGGCAGGAATTAATTCCCTGAAATGATAGAGTGCCGTAATGGCAGCCGTGCTAAAGCCAGAGTAATAATCGGGAGCGCCAGGAGTGTCAAGTCTGACAAAAATGAGTGCTATACAAGAACCCACCATTATTATTATTATCACATTTCAATCACAGATTTACTTCCATCATCAAGGCATTTCTTTTGCGTCTCATTGGAGATGAACGACCTTCATGGCGCATGACGATGAGATGGTGAGGAAGAATGGCGACTCCTGACCCTGGCTAAAGGTCGTAGGTCGGATGTTGTAGACCCCACCGGGAACGTCTTCCAGCTCCAGTATCGTGAATCCATGCCTGAATAATGAAAGGTGCACAAGAGAAATAAAACCGTACAATTTCATGACCGTATTCTGGGAGACACGCCCACACCAGGAAGAGTGCTCAAGCATGGTCGTGTTCGGGAAAGGAGGACCGAGGCATATTTTGCCTTGGCCCTAACAACAACAGTGTACCATTGTTTAATTTAGCTCAGTTTGTCTATTACATAACATACAGCAAAAGTACATAGTGCATCAAGCAACGAATGCCTTAAATAAACAAACAATCCACGCAGCTGCTAAGAACAATCAAAAATCAATTATTGTGAATAAAAAGTGAATCAGAATTCATTTGAATTTAATAAAAACAGGAATGTAATGATTGATAGTCTTATCAAAGAAGAAGCCAACGAAGACAGATATAAGACTTATCAAAATCTTTACAAGAGGGAGTATGAAGAAATCATAAAACAAAAGAAGTTCCTTACCGATAGTCTCCACTCATCTTCTTCTCAAATTGTGCACTGCCTTTCCCTTCAGATGAGACACAGATCACCTCGAAGCCCACGTGATAGGTCCTGGGGATCAGAAGAAATATCAAAGGAAACGTGACTTTACTATGCTTAATAACTTTACTGTTGCCATCATCATCATCATCATTATCATCATCATCATCATCATCATCAAAATCCTCCTCATAATCATAATTCCCTCTTTTCCTCCTCTCCCTCCTCCTCATTAGGTCAACATCATATAATTAATTGTTTTTTTCTATCTTACTTCTGTTTCTGAAAAGCTGATTTTATGTGTTCTCTCTTTTTGTTTTTGTTTCACAGGTGCTGCACCTTGAGCATTCAATTTCAAGTGGATCGTCACCTTTAAATACAGATTTCATATATTAATAATAACAATAATACACAACATTTATAAGGCCCTTAATACTGTTGTTTCTAAGCGCCAATTGTCTTTCTACAAATTACCAACCAAAACTTATAATAAACACACATATTATAAATCTGTTCTTTAATCAATAAATCATGCATATCTATAATAATAAACATTAAAATAAAAGTGAGATCAAATAAAGATCAAACATATGATCAAACAAACATAAGATCAAACAAACAAAGAATAAGATGGTGTGCACCTCCTTTACTATCATTATCAACCTTACCGTTAGTACGACCACCCATCCCCACCTCTACTCCTACTTACTTTGGTCCTTTGAGGTCGATAAGTAGGGAGTTTCCCCTGCTGTTGTCTTGAAGACATACTTGGTAGATAGGATTGTTGATGTATGTTTCTCTGTTGTTGGCACAGCCTCCTGCAGTCTTCCCCTTCCACTCACCAGTGAACTGCCATGACAAGAAAGTTTAACAATTAATTGCATGAGAACCTCAATTATTGAAATATAAATGATAAACAAATGTAGAACAGAGAAAGACTGTTAAATTTTTTAAAGGGATAGCTGAGTTTTGTTGCAGAGGGCGCTACACAAAATATTTATTTGGGAGATAATGAAAAAGGTGAGTGTAAAATTTGAAAGAACATACAATTTATATGACTATAGCTTTCTGAGTGAGCTGCTATAGGGATTACTCCATCAAGTAACAAAAATGTACAAATAATATTTTATTCCATTTGTATACGACATACTTTGTAAAACAATATTTATATTATTCATGTGTTTTGTTATCGATCTTGTGTTATATTGTTATATTTTATGTATTCATGCTTGATAGTGATACATTATGTTTTACTTGTTATTATTTTTGTTGTTAATAAACTCAAACTCAAACTCAAAGTATCAAGAATCAAATCATAATAAAGTTGGGGTTGAATTAAATATAAGAACGGATGTGAAGAAATACCAAAATCTATTTTGTTTTTAAAAGGTGGAATAGTAGAATATTTCTTGCTTCATGATAAAACGTTTCATACGATTCCTGTAAAGCAGATTTAAATTTCAACTTAGCAAACCTCTATGAACTTACATTCTTGGTGTGTTTGTAGGGATCCACTATCTTGGAGAGCTTGAATTCACATGTGGAATATGCCTGCAGGATGAAAGAAGAAAAAGGAAAGGGGGAAAATAGAAAGAAATCATAATAAATTCAATTGATATTTTTCATATATTTTGATTGACCTTAACATAAGAATGAATATCCTGAAAAGTATACAAAATATAAGAAAGACTGAACGTGGACAAAAATAGTATTACTAGGCATACTTTGTTTTCTTTGATTTAGCAGTACTTAAACTGATTTCATACAGTGTATTGGATGAACAAGATCCTCATTGTTTTTTCTACAATATTAGAGGTGTATAATAAATAGGTTAGAACAAGGGTACATGACAGAAAGCGATGGGAGATGCATAGCCGCCAACCCCTTCCGAAGGGACGGCACTAGATGATGATGATTAGTACTAAGATTTAATCAAAGCATTGTGAGTTTGACTCCCGGTCTGGTAGTAATGTCTTTTAGCAAGACATTAATCTACGTTTACCACTCTTTATCCAGGTGCACGTACACTGTACATCACACAATATTTTGTTTGTTTGTTTGTTTTACCTGACTGCTAAGAAAGAATGTGTATGCTTGAAATAAGCAACCAGGGGACCGACAGCTTTAGGTCCTCTCCAAGGCACTTGGTAATGAGGATTAAAGCCTTACCAAAGGGCACTAGCGCATCCACTTGATTTCGAACCCGGGACCTCCTGGTTACGAGACCACTTCTATACCACTGAGCCATATTATAGAATAGGACATTCCATGAAGTACAATAAAACCTGTCTATAAAGACCACCCGAGGGAGACAAGAAAGTGGTCTTTATAGGCAGGTGGTCTTTATGTACAGGTTCCTTTAGTACATGCTTCAATGAGAAATCATTTTCAAGGGAAACAAAAAATGTGGTCTTTGAAGACAGGTGGTCTTAATGTACAGGTTCCTTTAGTACATGCTTCATGGAGAAACCATTTTCAAGGGAGCCAAAAATGTGGTCTTTGTAGACAGGTGGTCTTTCTTTTAATACAGGTGCCCTATAAAGCAGGGCTCCATCTCACAAAACTTGTCATCAGTGACAAATGACAGTCTTTGTTACAAGCTACTGAAATCCTTGCTTCTGATTGGTTATCGACAGATTTGTCACTCATTTTTGTCATTTGTCATTGAAAAAAGGTTTTGTGAAACAGGTCCCAGGTTTGACTGTATAATCCTCTTACCCTGAGTGTGTAGTGGATGGAGTTGTTCTTCTCAAACTGTGACACAATGATGGTATAGATGTTAGAGCTCTTATCATTGACTATCATCTTGCACAGGTAGTGAGGGCTGTTGATACGCGTCCCATCCATGAAAGGGCCGGGGTCATCTAGTATAATATGGAGAACAGTTCATATACTTTACTTTCATATTTCAAGGCAATGAGTTGTTAATAGTGCAAAGGCCTGGGGTGTGTTTCACAAAGACTAAGATCAACTTTAAGTTGGACTTAACTATGGCAGGCTGTTCATGCCACTGTTTGCTCCCACCATTTTCTGGCATTGGTCTCTTAAGGGACGTACAAATCATTGTCATACAATTTTACTAATTCATTATGGAAGGAAAAAATATTATCTAAAGATCATAATAGTAAGAGCAGACAGTGGCATGAACGGCTTGCAATAGTTAAGTCCAGCTTAAAGTTGATCTTAGTCTTTGTGAAACACTCCCCTGGGCCCCGTTTTAAAAAGAGTTGGTCTAAATCAATCACAAGTTTTCTTATCAATCGCAAAAACCATTAACGTCTGCACGAGGCAAGTTTTAAAGTTCATCATAGGAATATGAAAGACTTTCATGTTTGGGCACTACTCAAATGGGAAATACCAAAATATTTGTAGAAATTGATATCATCTTTCAAGGCAGACTAGTGGACCCCTATGACAAAAAAACACTTGTGCTGATAAGGCCTAAGGGGTGATAATGAGCAATACAAAATTTTAAAAATAATAAATAAAGCACACCCCCTCTCTTGATTAAAAAAAGGTTCATGGAAAGAAAAAAAGTAACTAACATCATTCCCCCCTTTTGAGTAAGAAAATAGGGGAAAATAGGGGAAAAATCAGGAAGAAAAAAAAATGGGGAAAAAAAATTAGTCTGGGGAAACCGATTTAAATTGGGTAATTATTGGCCATTTCATCCCACGGGTGGTAAATAAATAAATAAATAAGAAGTAAATAAAAGAACAACACCATAAACTATGACTCGATGTACAAACTCACTTGGGTAGTAGACCTTCTTGCCACCCTTGTAGACCAGTAGGGTGATGAACTCTTTGTTATCAGCAAAGTCATCCTAAACAAACAAACAAATATGAAAGTGATAGGTCTCTTTAGATTCAATGACACTGCAGAAAACTTTGAAGAAGGTTTACCTACAGACAGCTACTTCATGAAGGGTAAACATATATTTTGTACAGCAAGAGAGAGAGAGGGAGGGAGAGAGAGAGCGAGAGAGAGCACAAGAGAGAGAGAGAGAGAGAGAGAGAGGGACAGAGAGATACATATTCATGCATCACATTCATGTAAATTACTTTTGAGTTTTAGCAGAGAGGAAACCATGATGCATGCATGGAAAATATTATCTACCTACATGTAACAATGCTCTAGCAGCTTAATTAGAATTATAAATGATAACGACAAATTGTGGAGTACAAACAAAACTCCTTAGAACTTGCAAAATCTCTCAATGCAGCATGTTTGTTGGTCTGATATTTATTTGGAAACGATTTGCTGTAATGAATAAGGGACTGATCATAATTTCTATCAACTCATAAAAAGGTTATAACCTTTTCAATAATTTGCTACAATTTTTGTTTTAAACTGCACTGTTCATAGATGCATACCTTGTCTGTGATGTGCCTTGTGAGAAGAATCCAAACAGCACCAAGTCCTTTGACCTCTAGACGATACTGAGGGTTGTTACCGATGTTGATGTTGTCCTTCTTAGGGCCTTCTGCTGCTGACCACATACTGAAAAGATCAAAAGACACTGTAGCAAACCCGCACACAACCTTATATAAATGGCTTCCTGCCAAGGGTAAAGAAAAAGAAAAGGACACTGAACCATTCCATACAACCTTCTCACTTCCTTATACTATAATATTAACGATAATCTGGATTTATGTAGCGCTTAATACACTATTCTGTCTCTAAGCGCTTTACATATATTGTTACCCCGGTTATAGGATTCATCCATGTACAATGTGCACCATCTTCACTCCCTGGGGAATATTCCTACCAAATGGTCACCATAAGGCAATTACTAACACAAAGTTTTTTGTCGACATAGTACACATACAGCACTGACAAACTATAGAAGCCCACCCGAAAGCAAGAATTTTGATTCTATTTTCAATCATAAATATCTCTCTTTGTCTAAAAAAGTGATACGGTTACAAAATTCTCAGTGCCACTTCATAAGAGTATAACATTTGGAATCGTGAGTAAATCATTCATGAATTGGATAGTACAGTATGAATAAAATTACAAACAAACTGCCTTTAAAGGCATCGTTTAACAATGTTAAAATATAAGATGCACGGCCCTACGCCTAATCAGTGTCTGTGATATGGAGTAATATTGAAGCCCTAAAAAATTGGCGCTTCAAAATGATCAAGAAGTGCCTCAAAAAAGTAAAAATCTTTGGTTTTACCATACTCGTTTTCCCCAATAGACTGTAGTGTTATGAAAACCGTTTGGCAAACGCAAAATTTGGTTTCGATTTCCAATCATAAATATCTTGATAATCAGACAGGCGATCGGCTTCTAAAAGTCATGGGGTTCCTGACTGACCTAAAGGTTTATAATTATCATTGCAGCATGAGCTAAATCCAGGATTTTGTTTCAGAATCCTAGACAAAGTTACCGGATCCCTTTAAAGAAGTACTAATAGATTTCTGAGTTCACTTACCCATGCATGACGTAGGAACGAGGAAAGAGAGATGGATTCCAGTTCATGTAGATCACATCAAAGAAGTTACACAAGGAGGCAAGGTCTATCCAGAATACACCTGCATAAAGAAAGAAATGAATTAAGATAAAATGCAAAAACAAGCACTTATCAACACATTCACCATTTTAGGGAGGGTGTTTCACAAAGATCCTAAGATGAACTTATCTCTTAGTTGGACTTAACAATTATGGAAAGCCCTAGGCATACTTGAAAATATTTTGTAAAATTTATTTTAAAATGCATAAAATGTTGATTCAAATCATTCATATTTTCTTTTATCAAGGAGATTTTATGTTCTTGATGTGGAATTTATAAAAAGTCTAAAAATACTTGAATTTTCGGTTTTTAATATATTTTTTTTAAAGGCAACAAATGGCTCCCCATAATTGTTAAGTCCAACTTAGAGTTACGTTTCGACTTAGGATCTTTGTTAAACACCCCCCTGGTGTGACATCTCATGGATATATTCCCTCCCTGAATAAAGAAATTGTGTATCGTTGCCCAGATAGAGAGACTTTCCTGACTACATAAAGTGCACATGCTGGCAACTGTTACATTGGAAGAGGTGAAGCAAACATGCAAGTTGCAGCAAAAGCACAATAATTTTCAGAGGAAGCATGATATAAATATGTGAGACTTGTGTAGCACTATTTCTTGGCTTATTCAATTAAATTAAACAACATTCATAGCAGGTTTGCCTTATGCAATCCTTCTTGCTTCATCAGACCACTCTGAAATACACAGAACAGTTTCTCAAACACTCAAGCAGAGCATATACATATCAGAGAATCTCTGCAGTGATTAAAAGAAAACAAAAAGGTGAAAAGCCGGTGTTCGAAAACATTAGAGCATGAATATGAATTTAAAAGAATTTTTTTTTATTATCTATGTTAAGTTTGAGGGGTTCTCCATGGAAAGATGATAATGCAGTTGTATTTGTTTTTTAATCACGATGCTCTTCTTCTTCTTTACGTGCCATGTCCTGAGACGTTGGCGACCATGGAATGCCACAACTCTCTGTCCCATATTCTATGAAGTAATTCATTCTCCCCGAGATCAATTCTACTTTCAGAAATCCCACTCCTTAAGCTACTCATCTACAGAATCCTCCTTCTACCCCTACTCCTCCTCCCCTTGATTCTTCCAATCAGTGCAAGATTTACCAAACCATGCTCACCATTGTCAAATTCTTGTGCATTCTTGGGGTCAAAGTTGAGAGCCTTCTGGAGTTCTGGAGTCCAGTTGGTGGTGTCCTCCTCTGAGAATCTTCCTTTCCATCTCAGATGACTCCAAGGGTTCTTCAGCTGGAGTAGCTTCTTACCCTGTAAGGGATACACAGGGATACCAGGGGAGTGTTTCACAAAGACTAAGATCAACTTTAAGGTATAGACCAGTTCTGGTCCTGCGAATGCATTGTGAAAGATTTAGAAACGTTGTGGAATCAATAAGAAAAGGTTGATCATCTAGCATATAAGTATTGGTGTGTACTGCAAGGTTCTGGAATCATCAAAATGATAAGAAATTTGGCCCAGTCTTGCAGTCACAAGCACTGTACACAGAAAGATGTATATGAGACTACACGATATCTATCCGGTCCCGATAGATATAATAATTTACCAAGTATATCAATTAGTAGGCGGTTTCCCGGCAAAAATTGTATCATCATGTATTAGTCAAAATATATTCTTTCACATGATTGGTAATAAGAGCTTCCATTTCATTTTTTGAGAGGGGGGTGTTTCCAAAACTGGTCTATACCTTTAAGTTGGACTTAACTATTGCAGGCCATTCATGCCACTGATCGCTCTCACCATCGGTCTCTCAATTATGACCTTTACATAATAGTTGTTCCTTCCAATGATGAATTATCAAAAATGTAAATTCTGTAGATTTGTGACCATGATTTGTAAGGAAGGAGGCAGGCCAGGACGAGAAACACTTCATTTTTACTATTTTGCCTAAGTTGTCCAACTACACATATAAATGTCCACCTTCCATAGAGCTGTCATCTTCTTTAGCAAATATGAAAACCTTCCTACCTGTATCTCTCTGATGTCGAGCATGGCGTACGCATGGGTTGGAACCAGCCCTGCCCTGTCAGCATCAGCCTCAGGTAACATCCCTGTCGCAACGGTAGCAAGAACCTCCCCTCTGTGGAAGCGTTCGTAGAGCTTCTTGAAGACCTTGTCAGCGTCGAAGCCAGGAGTGTTCTGCCTGATGGCTACTCTCTCAGGGATCCAGCCGGTCAGGGCGTGAAGGTCAATGTTCTGAGGGAAAGGTCAAAGAAATACAGATCAAATCGAATTGTAGGTGTGACACGCCTGTGTGCGCCCAAGTGAAAGACTAGTGTAATAAAACATTTGCCTCGTGAATTGTGATCTTTTAGGACTTGATGGGGCGGTACCGTGGTGTACTTTGTTGGTCTTTGGTAGGGAAATAGGGTATAGTATTCAGAGTTAGTTGAAATCAAAATGCTGACACAATAGGATCATCATGTAATTTAACAGGAATGGAGAATACTCTAATAAAAATAAGCTAATTTTAACTACCAGAATGTATCAAACAGGTTCAAGTATGTACCAATAAAAAAAAAAAACACTGGCTAGAATAGACTCAGGTAAAATATTCCCTTCATATTTCCCTAGAGCAGTCTCTACATAAAGGTTTCACTGTACTTTAAAATCTGTTGGTAATCTTATGGTGTATTTTGTTGGTTGACCTAGAACTTACCGAGTTGGATCCAGGGAAATCATAGCCTCCCATGACCTTCATGTAGGCCTTCTCCAGCAAGGACACCCAGAATTCATTGCGGTTGGACGAGAATGAACACAAGAGGTCGCCATGCTTGTCTACAGGGAGGTAGTCATCAAAAATCACCTGAGAAAACAAACAATTTTTTTTTAATAACTATTGGTTTGTACCATTTAATACAAATGCATGTGAACATTATGAGGCAGTAATTCAGTCAATTATGCAAAGGAAAGAATACATAACAGAGTGAATCAATTGTCTACTCAAGGCAAGTGAAAGAGTACTTCAAATCTGGCCAGTGTAACATTGTACCTCCTGCAAGAACTAAGTAATAAAATAGCGCTACTCTGTTGAAAAATCAATTTTGCACAAGTGACCGATCAGCATTTCAGGCAGTAATGTGAAGACAAAAGTAACCAAATTTGCCTTTAAGTCAAGATAACACTTACTGTACTTGTAGAAAATTACCTACTAAAAGAAATCATCTTTTGATTTACAAATGTAGGATGATTTATGTATTCTCTCAAAATATGATCAGAAGAGCCTCTATAACAAATAGTTTATTCTTACTACAGGTCTTTTCAAAACTGTCTTCTTCTTCTCATTATTGAATTCCTCCGCTTAGCGAAGAACTGTGTGTGAGCACAGGTTATCGAGAAACAGTAGCACTGTCAAAGATAGTCTTTATATGAGACACACAGGAAGAATGAAATATGGAAATAAAGTGTAAAGAGATCTTGTGATATAAGATTGGCTCTGCCAAGACCAGAATCAGGGATAACAGTCGTCTTTCCTTATGAAAGATGAAACAGTCGGTAAATGTCTGTGTTTCTGTCTTAAAGGCCGGCTGTACTAGTTCAGCCAGAAGGGATTAGACCAAACAGCGAGGTCACTGTGACTGGTGGCTATCTCATTATCTCAGCTCTCAATTAACATAAAAAAAAGAGGATCATGGGGGACCAACAAGCACTGGTTGGGGAATTTTTCTATAAAGAGGGAGCAAGTAGCTACAAGTAGTACAGTGTGGCTTTATTAATGTGAACGGTGATACCTTTCTCTTGACTCCATTGATCCAGAGGATAGCCATATACTTCCCACAGGGATTGTAGATTGGTTTATGACTCCTATCCTGGGGGTAGATGATGCTGTCAGAGAGAGGAAAGAGAGATAAGGGTGTAAGAAAAAACAAACTCACTCAGCTCATGTGAACATTCACAGCTCATCCTCCTTTCAATATTTTATTCAACATAAAAAAAATACACAAACTTAGTATTGACAGCATGGGAGTTTACTTGTTAAAGCCTATTTGCACTAGTTTGACACGAAGTGATTATACCTCCCTGTATGGTCACTGACAGGTGGTTATCTCATCAAATCAGCCCTTAATTAACATAAGGAAAAGGGGATCAGGGGAGACCAAGGGTCACCGATTAGGCATTGTTTGCTATATAGAGAGAGCAAGTAGCTGTAAGTAGTGCAGTGGGGCTTAAAGGGTACCTATAAGAGAAGCAAATTTTTCTTTTGATATAATGGGTTTCCATGTTCGCTGAACTGTATCAAAATATGAGCTTCACATATGACTTCTATAAAGAGATAATGCAGTTTAAATCTACTCTCAGTAAACACAAATACAACTTGTCGACTAAGATGTACATGTCTGCATAGAACAGGGCTGGCACAGAACCCAAGTCAAACAAGGATTCCTGGGCTATGGTTCTATCTATCCTGTATTTTATTCATACTCTTAAACAATTACCCAATAGGAAAAAAATTGAGGGTAATTTTACATATTCTAGCTAAAGACTAAACATTCTTTATTAGGTGACTGGTACACTTCAAACATATATGGAAAAAGAATTGGGCTGACAAGAAAAAATGTTGAATGGCAACATACATAATTGGATAGAGCATTAGAGAAAAACTTACTTTGTGAGTAGATGTTTCTTGAACCTTCTTTCATAATTGGCTGATATTGCTAGTGATGCAAGGAAGGAACAGTCCTGCACAATGGTCTGGAAGTCAAAAGTGATACAAGAGTTGAAACCAACATCCAAGAAACACATTCAGCGCATAGAAGATCGGGGCCTTGTCTTATAAAGCGTTGCGATAATCACATTTTATTTACGATTGATATCAATCGCAACTAAGACATACAGAGATACAGAGATGTACATAATATAAGAGATAGGAGACTACAAACTTACGATTGATTGGAGGACTTGCGATTGATTCTAAGCAATCGCAACTCTTTATGAGACGGGGCCCTGGCATTATACAATAATACCTTGATGAATTCCAGAAGGAAATCAGGTCGATTGTTCTATGAGTATTAGCTCTTAACAATTTTATTCAAAAAAATGTTGCAATTGTTCACTATATGCTCTAACCTGACCCCAAAGGTTTCATTCAACAAATTCAGGAACGTATTGAAAATGGAGGCATGGGCACATCGGGGTAGAGAAGTGGTCCTGTGACCAGGGGGTGTATCACAAAGATTCTAAGTCGAACTTAACTCTAAGTTGGACTTAAAAATTAGGGAAAGCCATTAGCATATTTGAAATATATTTTGTAAAAGTTATTTTAAAAGGCATAAAATGTTGATTAAAATCATTCATATTTTCTATTATCAAGGAGATTTCATGAAAAGTCTTGAATACTTGAATTTTTGCTTTTGAATATGTTTTGTTTTAAGGCTACAAATGGCTCTCCATAATTTTTAAGTCCAGCTTAAAGATAATTTCAACTTAGGATCTTTGTGAAACACCCCCCCCCCCCCTCCCCCCCGGCCTGACTGCATGAGACTCTCTTACCTGTTTAACACTGAAGCTTGATACAGCGTAGATGATTTTAGGATCACTGCAGATATCAGAAGGCCGCACCCATTTATTCAACCTCTCCTTCTGCTTGGTGCACAGAACAAGCTTGCCATCCTTATCCCTGGAACAAAACAAACAGTGGGAAAGGTAAAATCAAACAAATACACAAACAAACATACACCCAAATAATCTAAATATCAGGGTCCTCTACCTGTCTTCTATAGAGAAAGAGAAGAGACTAGCCTTACTAACTTAAACCCATACTCCTTCTGTTTGGAGCACAGAACAAGCTTGCCATCCTTATCCCTTGGACAAAAAAAAAAGTGGGAGTGGTATAAAAAGAGAAAAACAAACAAACAATCTAAATATCATGATCCTCTCCTTACCGGTACTCAGTTAAAAATACTTTCCTTTTGCAAAGCTATCTTCTATCGATAAGAGACTAGCCTTTCACCAGATCACTTATACTCATACTTGGCCTCTGACAGGGCCCCATTTCACAAAACTTGTCTTTAGAGACCAATGACAGTTTTTGTTATAAGCTAGTGAAATCCTTGCTTCTGATTAGTCATTAGCAGATTTGTCACTGTTTTTTGTAATTTGTCATTGAAAAAAGGCTTTGTGAAACAGGTCCCAGATTTATGTCAGCAAGTTTAAATCACAAGATTTTGTAAGACAAGTTTTCATCACAGGGCATCTTGACACAATCAGTTGTTCGTGCTATCTTATGTCACTATACATAGATGTGTTTGATTTCAAGCAGATATAATTTCTTTTGAGTCAAAATATAATTATTTGCTACATAATCCCTACAGTAGGAAAGGCAGAAGTAAAATGATTCATGATCAATTGCATTATCTGAAGATCTTATTATATCTAACAGTGAGGGAAGGGGAGAAGGAGATAGAAATGGAAAAAGACTTACGTGAAAGGCACAGGATATGCAAATCTTTCTTTAAGGTCTGCCTGGGACATAAATGGAAGATACGCTCGACCATTGATGTCCGATGTTTTTCTGTAAACAGAAAAAAAGTTATAGATAGACTTGATACATCAATATACTAACCAAGGTGCATACAAGACACTTACATATATGAACACATCAACATCTGCGTTAAATTAGAATAAGTTTAAATCAGTTACTACATAAGTATGGAACATAAGTATGTATTTACAATATATATAACTGAATTTGTTTCTCGTACGAGCAACAATAAATGGCAGTTTAAAGATAAACTCCAGTACTGGTAAAAAAAAAAAATTAATTCTCACAGAATCAAACGAAACTTACACTGAATGTTCAAGATTACAAATAAATGACATGTGCCAAACAATTTTGGAAGAAAAAGTATACTGGCTGAGTAATGAGCATAGAAAGACAAGGAAACCAAGGTAGTACCATCCCCGACACCATGTGTGTTGTCCCATATATAGCTTTCTATGTGAGTGTTTGTTACTTTACCAAGACTCGGTCAAATTTATTATGATTTTGATGACTCCAGAACCTTGCAGTGCACACCAATACTTACATGCTACATGATCAACTGTTTCTGATCCTTTCACACCTTTTCTTTCACAATGCAATCGCATTACCAGTACTAAAGTTTAGCTTTAAAGGGTAGTTTTAAAGAGAAGGTCGAGTTCTGGGAAGAGGTGAAAAATAATTTGTGAGCATTACTCATTCTTATTATGCAAGTGTGGAAGAAAATCAGTTAAGACATGTTACCTGAAAAGCATGGCTCTTCAAATGTCTTCATATTCTAAATATGCATGTAACATCGTAAAAATCGGGGGGGGGGGGGGGGGGCCAGCTTTTTACGCCACGTGTTCGTGTAGTCCCATATACATCTTTCTGCGCAAGTGTTTGTAACTTTACCAAGACTTGGCCACATTTCTTATCATTTTGATAATTCCAGAACCTTGCAATACACACAAATTCTTATATGCTAGATGATCAACCTTTTCTGGTCGGTTTCACACCGTTTCTTTCACAATGCAATCGCATGACCAGAACTCAACTTCATCTTTAAGGTTTTTTTTTTTTATATTTCAAGGCTAATTATAACCTTACAATTATTTGGAATGTACTAAAAGTCAAATGATTTCTGTCCCTACCTAAGCACAGCAATCTCCTCTGGAGTGTATTTACCGCCTCCTCCGCTGTTACCTCCACCTCCACCTCCACCTCCACCTCCACCTCCACCACCACCACCACCCCCGCCCGATGCAGTGGAACCGCCTGCAGACCCACTGGTACTCCTGCCTCTTCCATTTTCTTTAGGGGTGTTTTTACCAGTAGCGGGGGAGGGTGGTCCGGTGTCTAGGCTGGGGAGATCGCGGGGAATCTCCGGAAGGTTGAAGATGGGACTGTCATCTGGTAGATTCTGGTTCTTGGAGGGGAGCTGGTTCCGCGGAGGGGATGGAAGACTTTGGGTAATGGACTTCTTCTTCAAAGCCTCTGCCCTAATGAATTGAAAAGAAAGTATGAATTCTTAGTAACAGGCAAGGGCGTTGATTTTAAATTAATTAAACTTTAGGTTTGCAGATGAGGAATAGAAAATGCACTGGACACTAGTATAAACAGACAGAAGAACAAGGTCAAGCCATGAATTAAAATACTATAAACAGATTTAAATACTTGTACCGGTACAGAAATGTATTTTACCTGTCAAGGGCCTGCTTTGCAAGTCGACTCAACTTTGCCTTTTGGTCCGGAGTACTTGTTTTACTCTACAAAAAGAAGAAGAAAAAGAGAGGGGCATAAAGATAAACAATCAAACATCTACATTTACCTTCTCAGTTCCACTTACCTTGGACATTGTGCACTTCATAATGGCTGTCCAGCAAGACCGGTTTGATAGATTTTAAATCAACTAAAATAATTTTTTGCCACACAAAAGTCTGACAATAAGCATTGTTATTTTTGATATGTCATTATCATAACTTTAAGGATCACTTATATTATTTTTATCATCAGTCATCACTTTCATTATTAGCATTACAATCAACATCAGTTCACCCCAACATCATCAACCATGAACATCATGATGATGATCACCATCATCTTTGTCATCATCACCATAATCACATAAACATCATCATCTTTCTTCCCCACATAAAGATAATCATCATCATCATCATCATCATCATCATCATCATCACCATCACCACCACCATCATCATCATCATCATCATCATCATCATCATCATCATCATCATCATCATCATCATCATCATCATCATCATCATCATCATCACCATAATCACTTAAAGGTAAAGACCAGTATTGGAAACGCCCCAATTTCAAAAAATGAAATGGAAGCTCTCATTACCAATCATATGAAAGAATATGTTTTGACCAATACATGATGATAAAAAATTTGCCGGGAAACCGCCTACTAATTCATATATTTGGTAAATTTGTTTCTCTCATGGTCTGTGAGAGATATAGGGTAGTCCCATATTCATCTTTGTGTGTATAGTGCTTGTAACTTTACAAAGAATGGGCCAAATTTCTTATCATTTTGATGATTCCAGAACCTTGCAGATGCTAGATGCTAGATGATCAACCTTTTCTGATCGATTCCACAACGTTTCTTGCACAATGCAATCGCATGACTATAACTGGTCTTTACCTTTAACTATCATCATCATCTTCATCATCCCCACCATCATCATCATAATCATCATCATCATCATCACCACCATCATCATCATTACAGTTGTAGCATCTAGGCTAGTGGTATCTACTATCTTTATGTACAAAATTTGACATTTGTTTATATCCACACTCTCATTCTGAGAATTTGTTTCTACTCCTTAGAAGGACAGATAAAGTTGAGTTCTGGTCATGTGGTTGCAGTGTGAAAGAAACTGTGTGGAATCCATTAGAAATAGTTGATCATGTAGCATATAAGTATTAGTGTGTACTGCAAGGTTCTGGAGTCATCAAAAGGATAAGAAATTTGGCCCAGTCTTGGTAAAGTTACAAGCACTGTATAAACAGAAAGATGGAACTACACAATGCCATAAAAATCAGACCTCATTTTTATGATGTTACTTGTCATATCTAGAATATGAAGGCATTTGAAGAGCCATGCTTTTCAGGGAACATTTTTTATCTAATGTTCTTCAACACTTGCAGAATAATAATGATAATGCTCACAAATTAATTTTCACCTCTCCCCATTACTCAACCTTCTCTTTTACTCACGGCTTTAATGCAGAGCTCAGCTGCATTGAGGTAGAGTCCTGCTGCCTCGTCATCTCCCTCCTTTCCTCCTTCCTCCTCCAGTTCAAACGCCTGACGGATCAGAAAGTTTGCTCTCTCAGCCTCCGCGCTCACTCCGGGTTGAACGCTCGCTGCACCAACATGACTGCTTCCTGCTGTGTTATTGACTGAACAAGGCGGACAATTCATCATTTTTAATTTATATCTTAATCAAACTACGTATATAAATAAAACACTTCACTAAAATAAACGGATTAAGCAAAACCTAAAACTGTAACAGGCTTGTATTGTTATACTCTGTGTTAAAGTATGGGAGTTAAAGCCATTCTGGTTCCAAACAGAAGATCTTATAACCCACTTCAAGTAAGCATGCATTTAGTGTATTCAACAGTTATAACTATTTATGACCAATGGGCTTTATGTTATGCTGTACCTTTTCCACTCATTCCCCTATATGTTAAAGGTAATACAAAGTTTTGGTATGGGGTCATGAATTTGGTTCAAATGAACATATTGGAAGCATGTGCGATCCTACAATATTCAGTGATTGTTGTCGCGGTTGAAATTGAGTGTAAACTTATGAAATTGTAAATAATAAACTCTTTATGTTGTATAGCTCCCTCTCAAGGTCAAGATATAAATCAAAGTATAAAAGAATATTCTTGACTAAAATTTACCGATTAGTTGTTCCTGTTCGGAAATTATATATCACAACTACATATTCTGACATTTTCATGGTCGCAGCTACCATTGTACGGCCGTAGGCGCTATTTGAAATTTATCAAAATTTACCGGGAGCACCGGTAAATTTTTATATTCCATTTTTCTCGAAAGCAGAAGTGTTTTAGGGGCTAAATTTTCTAGTGTTTATAATACATCCACAGGGGCATCCAAACATATCAAAATTGTAAAGAATCACTCTCCACCCAATTTTCAAAACTTCCCAAAACTTTGTAATAACTTTAAAACTGTGGGTGATGGAAACGTACAAAAATGACTCATTTTTGTACGTTTCCATCACCCACAGACTCTCCAAGACACTACAGGGTATTTCTGCATTGGACTATGGCTTTGCTGTGTGCAGACTTAAATATACCCATGAATGGTATTTCCACCAAGTCTGGTGTCAGCGTATCTTGACCTTCTGCACATGGAAACTGACGACCCTTTCCCTTTAAAGCCCCACTGCACTACTTATAGCTACTTACGCCCTCTATATAGCAAACAATACCTAATCGGTGACCATTGGTCCCCCATGGTCCCTCTTTCTTATGTTTATTGAGAGCTGGTTTGATCAGATAACCACCTGTCAGTGACAATGCAGGGAGGTCTGATCCCTCCTGGCCAAACTAGTGCAGAAAGGCTTTAAACTTGTGTCTTACCCATGTTTTTCAGTGCCTTCACTCTTGTGACATACTCTGCATATTTTCCTGATAGACCCTTGGTTGGGTTTGCAAGGTGAGCATTGTACATAGCTTGGATAGCCTCCTGTGCAACAGAAGAAAAAAAAATACAAAATATATTCAACAAATAAATAAAAAGTTCATGTAAATCGATTGATATCATGCACAAAACATGTTGCAGCATCAGTGTAGCACCATGGCCATGCATGGACATCTCATTGAAGTTCTAACTTAAAGGGCCCATGACATCGAAATACAAGTGTATTCCTGTTGGTGTGCAGTCCTGCATACATCTCATATTTTGATATGTAAACTTCTGAATTTGTTTCATAGATTTTTTAATATTTTTTGAAATATTTGTTTTTCAAAGATGCTAAGCTCCACCCCAAAAACCTCCATATCTCATCCCCCTTGTGACATCATGATCTGTCAGTCATCAATGAGTTATAGTTCCTAGCGGACCTTTCGGAAGAGACGAACACAAGGTACAAGGTACAAATGGTCACTCTAGGCTTGTGCTCTTTGAAATTGATGCAATGTTTTTGTTATATCCAAAGGCAAATGCGACAGCTGTATTTTAGTTAAGTATCAGCACACAAAACCCTTGGGCCTCCCCTTATTAATACAGCTTTGTGTTTCTTAAGAGTTAGGCACATTCATGGGGCACTAGAGGGCGCTTCGCGAGCGTACGAAAATCTGAATGGCCTTGCTGCGGTGGGTCGGCAATAATCAGCCCAAAACTTGGATATGGGAGGGTGGAAGGATATATCTTTTTTATAATGTTATCCAGTCTTACCCCTAACCATCCTATGTTTAATCTATGTAGAAATAACATGCGAGTACGATAAGAGAAACATCGGGCCCATTACTGATGCAACTTTTTAAATATTAGCCTAGAAATGACCACCAAACGGAAAAAATGACATTTTTTTCCGACAAATCTTCATAAAATCTGAGTTATAAACAACTCACAACTAGGCTCGGTAATGCAAATACGATTTTCTGAAAATTCAGGTGTGATTTTTTAAGTTTCTTTCAAGTATATTTCTGCGCATCGCAGCGCAAATTTTCTTCACTGCTTCAAAATCACCCTTGAAAATTTTTTTTGCAACGAATTTGATATGGGGTCCGCGAGTGTTCCCCGTTCCTTGCGTGTTGAAAGTTTGGTAATACAAAGTTTGCATTGACTCGCGCACGAAAAAATGGCTCGAAAACAAATGTCAAAACGAGAAATAAACAAGCTTTTGTATAGTTATAAGAGATCTACCAAGGTTTCTTTGTCGATATAATTTATTATATAGTCTCAATTAGAATTCAGAAATATCTCACTGAAACCGACGATGTTCTCGATCGTAGTTATTTTCACTTGCCAGCAGACGTTCTAGCGTGGTTTTGGCAAAAATCTAGCCCGCCACCTTCCCACCTCGAACCTTTCGAGTTCTGCTAAAATTGTGCGCTGCGGAGCTCCGAGGGTGCGTTGGTATCGCTGGCAAACTCTTGGGCGGCTAGCTCCCCACGACGGACCATTCGCGGTATGGCGATAGTGTGTGTGTGAGATACGATTTTGGATTCGAGAACGCACGTACCACAACCGTGCGCGTCATTTTCAGCTGTCGAATGTCTACGACCAATTTTACATGTACGATTTTTAGTACAGATACTTGGTCAGTTTTCTTCTTATATCTTTGGTTTTACAACATTTAAAAATATAATTTCTTCAAATTTGCTCCTGACTCGGTTCAGACTAGACCTAATTGTCTGATGTGTTTTCAAGTCAATTTCTTGAATATATTTTTTTGCATGAATTTGCCTATAAGAGTGAAGTTTAAATTTTTGTTTTAATAACAAAAATTGGGGAGGGCTATTAAGTTGACTTAATAACAATAATTGATAACATTTGTATCATGTGAATTATTGTTTGAATTAGACTTTAAACTCAATCTTTAAGTTTACTGTTTAGTTTAGACTTGTCTTCACTTCACACTTCTGTCACTTGTCTTCACTTCAGTTCACAACCACTTGGCACTTTTGAACAAGACAAATTTCTTGTTAATTCAGAACACATTATTTTAATAACTATGATTACATTTACATGAGTAATCATGATAGCTCTACACACCACGTAATAGAACATAGCAGTTCTGTATTGGCCCAAGCTGTCCTGTTCTGTTGCTTTCAACGCAAAATCGTATGCATCTCGTAGAAGCTCTTCATCCCTTCCTCTGCCGCCGCCACTACCGCCGGGGTAACCCTGGCCGCCGCTGGCGCTGGAGGCCGAGTCAACGTATACGAAGTCATCATCCATTTGGCTGCCGCTAGCTCCAGAATCACCAGGATACAGACGATTATAATCAGACCAAAACATTGAAGAGTGTTAAACAGCACTCAAAATCCCTTAAAACGCAGACGTCTGTCAAAATGAAGTGTTCGATAGCGAATGTTTGTGTACGGAAGTGATCTTCAAATCACTTCGTGGGAGTCGCCATTTTTTAAAATAGAAATTGCTCTCAACAACAGATGGCGGTTGACGGGAATTTCCCCATTGTGACATCATCGTAAACTTAACCGATCTAAAGTTGTTCTAAATCAAGCAGAATCAAGTATTGAAGTAAGAAAAACACATTGTGATTATTTGAGCATACCCCCCAAAAAGGTAAGGAGAGAGAAATAAAAAAAAATAACCAAGAAAAATAAATAAATATTTGTTACATCGTTAGAGTTGAGAAAGCGGACCAAAGTGAGGGACTGTCATTATCTAAACTCTCCGAATTCTGTCGGACTAGCATTTGCCCGAATTCTCTGAAACTCTCTTTACTTATCTTTTCTATGATCGTTTCTACATCCCTTCAAGCTTATTTAAAGGGTAAATTCGAGGGGGAGTTTCCCCCATCCCACGCGAAGCGCGGAAGCTTTGACGTTTCATTAGATTATTATAGAGAAAGGCGATGATTCGTACGTACCGTTCTCGGACTCTTAATCCTTGTCTGAATTCAGTTCCGCCCCCCCCCCCCCCGCCCCTCTCACGCTCGGAAGGTTTGACGTTTCATTGAATTACTAGAGAAAGAAGACGATTCGTTGTACCGTTCTCGTCTCGTAATCCTTGTCTGAATTCAGTTTCGCCCCCCGCCCTCTCGCGTGAATCTCGGAAGGTTTGACGTTTCGTTGGATTACTAGAGAAAGAAGAAGATTCGTTGTATATCGTTCTCGACTCTTAATCCTTGTCTGAATTCAGTTTCCCCCTTTCCGCGCGAAGCGCCGAAGGTATGGCTTTTCATTAAATTATTAGAGAAAGAAAACGATTCCTGGTACCGTTCTCGACTCTTAACCCTTGTCTGAATTCAGTTTCGCCCCCCCCCCCTCCTCTCGCGTGAAGCTCGGAAGGTTTCACGTTTCATTAAATTATTAGAGAAAAAAAGACTCGTTGTACCGTTCTCGACTCTTAATCCTTGCCTGAATCCAGTTATCCCCTCCCGCGCGAAGCGCAGAAGGTTTGACGTTTAACGCGCATGCTTTCTCTCTTCCCACTCTCCCTCTCTCCCTCGTCATCCCCTCCTTCTTGATTTCCTCATCCTCTCGCTTTGGTCTTGTTCGCCCATTTTCCTTTACAATAAGCGTCCATTTTCCATTCTCATACGTGCCCTTTTTAATCTCTAGTAAGCAGGCACGTAGTCACGGGGGGGGGGGGGGGGGTTATTCCAAGATCGGTTGAACGAACTTTTTTAGACCACTTTTTTTTTTTACCTCAATCGATTACATGTATGTTCCCCCCCCCCCCCAAAAAAAAAAAAAAAAAAAAATCAAACTCTGGCTACGTGCCTGCTAGTAAGTGTCCCTCTTCAGGTACGAGAAGTTCCTCTTTTCATGTTTGATAAGTGCCCCTTCACCTCTGATAATTGCTCTATTCAAATCTGAGAGGTGCCTCTGTTTACTTTGACAAGTGCCACTTTTCCTTTGTAAGAAGGGCCTCTTCCCCTTTTAATAACTACCCCCATTTTAACTCGGATAAGCGCACCTTATATCTTCACATGTGCTCCTTTTCCTTTCTAATATGTGCCCCTTTTTCTAATGATAAGTGCCCCATTGAAAAAGGGAACTTTCTTGAGAAAAAAGGGCTTGTCAAAAGTAAAAGAGACACGTACCTCTCAGATTTAAATAGGACAATTATCAGAGGTGAAGGGGGCACTTATCAAAAGTGAAAAGAGGCACTTCTCGTACCTAACTAGAGGCACTTACTAGAGATTAAAAAGGGCACTTATGAGAATGGAAAATAAACACTAATTGCGAAGGAAAATGGGAACTTGTCTAAGAAAAAGGGGTAGACTATGTGTCCAAATAAATGTGGCAATTATCAGAGTTGAAAAGGGGAAGGGGCGCTTTTAAAAATTAAAGGGGGCACTTGCCAAAGTAAAAGGGGCACTATCCTATGTAAAAAGGGGCAGTTCTGAAAGTTAAAGGGGCACTTTAAATAGTGGGGGGCACTGTGCCCCCCTTGCCCCCCGGGAGGGCCGCCTCTGTTTTGACCCTCCCCTTTACCTGCGCGCCAGGATTCTGCAACGGTTGTGATGACGCAAGGGCCTCTAATGAATAAAATGCAATGTACGTATCAAATAAAAGTCGTCTCCTATTTGTAACTTTGTTGTATAGGCCGATAACAATAAAAGAGAACAAGATGATGGGTGTCTGATTAGCTTGTATAGGCCTACATAAATAAGCGGGGCGTTTATAGTGCAGGACCCCCCCCCCCCCCCCCCTCCCTCCCCACAATCTCCAGAGCAAGTCATAAAATGTAAATTTGCAAGATAATGAAAGGGGCCGTATGAAAATCGGGTGCTTTTTCACATGCTATGGAAATAGTATCCATGGATGCCCCCTTTCCCTTTCTACCATTTTTTTTGGGGGGGGGGGGTGCTACTGTTCAAGACCTGTGTTCGAGACGGTTGCGCGTGCATGTGCGTCTAGTCTAGTTTGAGAGAGCGCCGTTTTATCAGCACGGTCGGTAATTGGTCAAAGGTCACAGCAGAGGTAGACGACAATTGTCTATTTTGCACTTTTCAGTGGTGATACGTAACCATTTTTAGGTTTTCTTAACGGATTGCAGCCTAGTTTTTCAAGATTTATTCATCAGGTAAGTCTGTGGTGAATGAAGAGCTCGAATGATGTGCATGAAAACTTACGACCAATATTTTATTTGCGATTGCGCTCGCTTTGCCTTTGCCGTTGATTTGCGCTCTGTCCTCAGTATTTGACTTTGACAAGGCGCTCTGCAATGCAGGCCCTGTCTGTGACTGTTTTGAGGAGGCGTCTGCCAAACTTGGCACACGGCCGGGCGCGGGCCCGGGCTAATGTAAATTGGCAGCGCTCGGGCGCGGGCTCGCTCGGCGATTAGCATTCAGATGTTCAATGGCCTTAGAAATATACTCTACGCCCTTTTACGGGCTTGCCTTAGCTGCTTAAAATCTAGTGATAGATCTAGACATCTATATAAAATATTAGTTTGATATCACCAAGCCTACCCCGGCCCTGCTCTAGTCTAGCCTAGACTCGTCTCTAGGTCTATTAAGCTCTAGATCTAGCCCTATTTTGCACAATGCGGAGAGCCAAATATAAAAAAATACAAATGTCAAATGTGAAGTGCTTTCGCACCGTCACGGCACTGGTACAGTGGTAGAAGTTTTTAGTAGGGGGCACTGGTCTGAGAATGAGGATCGTCCCCATGCACGAAGATATCCTCATAAACGCAGACACATCGCATCCTAAAAAATAAGTATCGTCCGCATTTTCTCGGACGATCCTTAACTTATATCGATATGCGCATTGGCAGTGCGCAAAATGGATTTTGCGATGATGCTTCACACATAGAACTGAACTTTCCGCATTTTTCAAGGGTTGATTTCAATCAATCTTTTGAGATAATTTTTATTTTTGGAATTTGATGTAATTTTGTCAATATTTTGGCTTTGAAATAAGGATTTTCTACTAGTGAATGCTTGTTGACTTGTTTATGTTTGTTGACTTGTTTTTAAAGGGATCGTTTAACAATGTTAAATCTGAGATGCATGGCCCTTACGTGTTATCAGTGTCTGTGATATGGTGTTATATTGAAGCCCTAAAAAAACTGCGCATCAAAATGATCAAGAAGTGCCACAAAAAGTAAAAACCTTTGAAAGACCGGTTTTACCAAAGAGATACCAGCTATGGAGAACTAGCGAGAGCCGCCTGATCGAGCTTCAAAGCCGCCTCGTAAACTCAGCGGGTGTTCGCGACATGATTTACGATGGCTGTTTTGGGTTCGCTCTAGATATCGGGCAGTGTGAGTATGCGCAGTTGCTATTTTCGTATTTGGCTTTCTTGGATTAACTACATGTATTTTGACAATGGCAAACAATGACTGAAGGTACCGCTTCCGAGTACGACTTCGATTTAAATGACGAGTAATCTTTGTTATCTGAAATCAATGAATTGAAACCTGTTCCTGATGATTCGAAAATCGGAATTCATAATGAGTTTGTTGAAGTATTACGATTAAGACTAGATCTTTATAATAGGAAGCACAAACGTTTGAGTTATGACTTTGTCTTCAGTCCCGTACATTGCATTCCGTGTCGGTTTTGCAATGTTTTGAGGAAATAGCCTTGCACGATTATGACAGGCTTTTCACATTTCTTTTCAATGGTTATCATATCATTAAGTAACATAGATAGATCTATATACATTGCCTGATTAAACAGATTGAAATGGTTAACAAAAATACAGCCATTATTATTTCCTGAACACTACCCCCCGCCAGTCCTGAAAACAACAAAGTAAAAAAACTTATGATGGCTGAAAATGAAGTTTGAACCATCATGAATACAATATCCATCAAAATAAACTATACGTTCGCTGTAACGTTTAACGCAGTAAACGCAGGTGCGCGTTAAAAGGCCCATTATCGCACTTATCGCACAGGTGCGATAGCTGCGCCTGGGTCCGATAGGGCTAATATTGCACTTATTGCACTTATCGCACCTGCGCCTGGGTCCGATAGGGCTTATTGCCGGCCCTCTTGTTGCACCTCTGCGCTAGCTTCGATAGGGTCTACTAACCTACTAGCGCACCTGCCTTGCCCCTCGAACTGCACTGTTGTATAGAAAGAACGAAGGGAAAACGAAATGGCAGAATTTATGGTACGGCATTAATAAAAGGAAGAAATATCAAATGAAATCGTGAACGGAATGATGATTTTGAATTTCATTCCCCCGTTGAAGTACCGTCTTCTTGTCCTTGAGTACTAATATTAATTCACCAGGACCGATTTAGATTTGAAGCGAACGTAATTTTAGGTGAATGTGGGAGAGGACTATTTATACGTCTCATTATTCTGAATGGAATTATCAAACTACAACTACAGTAATTTGTTTTCCCAGGTCCACGAACGAGAGTCCCAGATCCCAGTACAGTGTGCACTCATTTGCATACAGCCAATCAGAACAATGCGCTGTCTGTGTGTAGAGCTTTGCACCGTTTCGCATGGTAACCGTTTCGCATCACGAACAATTGTTTATAGAAAAATCAGTTCTCAACAGTTCTCAACCTTTACAAATACAGTGCGTTCGAGAAAAAACGAAACTCTGAATTGTCGATGTTTTATCATATCTTAATCTCAATTATAATTAATAAATGACACATATTTGTAAAGCTGAGATCCCCTTCTTTCATTTGATTGACATGTTGCAAATTTAACACACGAGCGCTTTGAAACAATTCGAAGAAAGGTTACCAAAAAAAAATCATTTGGCGAACTGTATCTGAATTTCAAAGAGAAAATCACATTTCTAGAAATGTCATTTTCTGCCTCTTTATATGAAACCTTAATCAGGAAAAATGAGCCAGGAATAAAAAAAAGTTATGTTTGTTTAATTAAATGCTTGCATTTCCATAATGTTATTAAACGAAATCGTTTTCACTTGCTGCCCAGCGTAGCAACAAACAGAATTGACGAAAGAGTTAACTCCGTTTCGTTGACAATCAGCCATGCATGAACGCTTTCGTCTTCTGCATGTATGTGTTGTTACTTCGCTGTTACTGGGACGCACTGTACATAGGGACTCAATTCTAAAGATTTTACGGTCGAGAAATTTTCTAAAGAAACCTATTGTTCTTGATGCGAACGGCATGCGAAGCTCTTCACACACAGACAGCGCATTGCTCTGATTGGCTGTATGCAAATGAGTTCATTCTGTACTGGGGTCTGGAACTCTCAATACTCCGATTGTGGGCGGTCCGATGACGTCTTTCGCATCGTTCTGCGTCACATTACGAGGGTCCGGGCTCGACTTCGCTACAGCTATCTCCTCACGGACGACGGGTCAGGGGTTAATTGGACTAATACGATATTTTTCAATTCATTCTTATTTTATCATGTGGTTAGCAATACTGTGAAAATCTATTATAATACATATCAACTCCGTATCACTGAGTTGCATACACATACCCATTCCCGTAGTCCATTGAACAAGTCAACTCCATTTGTGTGCGATCGGGGGGGGGGGGGGGGGGGGAATGACCTAGTTCTTTAACAATTTGACAAGCAAAGAATAATAAATAACGTTGATGATGATAGTATTATGTGAACTCTAGGAATGTACATATGTGTTTAATGTTGATTTACTAGGATTTAAGCCGGGTGATGGACGAAACAATCGGGATGGATCAAAACAAGCGTGTGATAATGAATATTTTATTTCTGTTGCGTAACACCTAAACCAGTTGCCTTTTACAAATTACTTGAAAATGAGATCGAAAAAGGGAAAAGAAGTAGAAGGAGAGATGAAGAAGCAGAGGGGGAGAAGGGAAGGAAGGGGGAGATGAAAAAGCAGAGGTGGGGGGGGGGGGGGAAGAAAAAGAACAAAAAGAAGAGAGTGAGATGAAGAGGCAGACGGGGAAAGGGAGAAGAACAAGAAGGAGAAGAAAAAGCAGCGGAAGATGTAGAAGCAGAGGGGGGGGGGGGGGGGGGGGGAGAGAAGAAAAGGAAGGAGAAGAAAAAGAAGGAGAGGGAGATGAAGAGGCAGGGGGTGAGAAGAAATGTAAGAACAAGGCAAAGAAGGAAAAGATGAAGAAGCAGAGGGGGGGGGGGGGGAGAGAGAAAAGGAAGGAGAAGAAAAGAAGAAGGAATCTAAAAAATAAAATAACATAAGACATACGAAACAAGCAGAAAACTTAATCAATTTGGCTTTTCGCCGATGAATTGAATGTTTCATTTGACAAGAGAGCGGGCATATAATAGTACAATTACTTGAAAAACACGTGCCTCTTTACCCCCTTAAAAAAAAAAAAGATGAGGAATGAGATGGAAAAAAGAGAAAGAAGAAGGAGAGATGTAGAAGCAGGGGGGGGGGGGGGGGGTGCAGAAGAAAAGGAAAGAGAAAAGAAAGAAGAAGGGGGTGAAGAAGCAGGGGGGAGAAGAGAGTGAGATGAAGAGGCAGACGGGGGAGGTGAGAAGAACAGTACGGAGAAGAAAAAGCAGCGGAAGATGTAGAAGCAGAGGGGGGGGGGGGGGGAGAGAAGAAAAGGAAAGAGAGGGAGATGAAGAGGCAGGGGGTGAGAAGAAATGTATGAACAAGGTAAAGAAGGGGAAGATGAGGAAGCAAGGGGGGGGGGGGGAGAAAAGGAAGGAGAAGAAAAGAAGAAGGAATCAGAGAACGGGCATATGATAGTAAGGTTACTTGAAAAACGCGTGCCTCTTTCTTTATCCCCTTTAAAAAAAGGATGTCATCTTTTTTTTTTTGAGGAATGAGATGGAAAAAAGAGAAAGAAGGAGAGATGAAGAAGCAGGGGGGGGTGGTGGAAAAGAAAAGGAGGGAGGAGATGAAGAAGCTGGGGGGAGCAAAAGGAAGGAGAAGAAAAGGGAAAAGAAAATCTAAAATGATAATGGAGTATACCAGCAGGAACTTCATCTAATGGAAATTCCTTTTTTTCTTTTCGCCAATGAATTGATGTTTAAATGACAAGAGTTGGCGTACATTTCATATTTTGTTTCAAGTGTTTCGAAACAAAGGGCTTGGATGGAGTCAGGGTGTCTGGCAACAATGTGGTTATCTTCGAAGTTATTTATAAACAGATTATGTTTGCGCAGTACGATCACGT